TACAAAGCCTCGTCTTTCTCCCTCAGAGGGGCAGCTGGTTTCAAACTGCGGACCTTGTGGTTTGCAGCACAATGTGTAACCCACTACGGTATCAGGACTCCACCTTGTATACGATAGGTGTTCAACAAGGGGTCATACTCAGGCATCTGGGGGACAGTATGCCTGTGACCATCTCCACGTAACACCAAAAACATCTGTCCTGTACCACTGGCTCTTCCGCTGCCTTACCTCCATGCGGGACACTGTTCCATCAGAAGACATTTCCCATGTTTTCCTCTACATTAATCATGGCTGCTTTTGTTGTGAATGGAACAGCTCCATACGGTTTTCAAGCATGTTACCTTTGTCTGCCAAGGTGTCTCTGGATGGGTTTGAACCATCAACCTTTACAATCATCAACTGCTTAACCATTGGCACCAGCTACAGACGCCTTCCTCGCCATGGTGTAGTTGACAGGTAGCCTGCACCAGCCATCAGGGAATAAAGCAGGGAGAGCTTTCTTCCCCCCAACCCTGCCCACCCCCTCCCCAACCTTTTTCTGCACCTTGACCAACTCTGAACACTGCCAGCAATGGTGTGAGAGTTTGGGGCATGCTGCTTCCTTTTCCTTCCACTGTTTTGTCTTAAAAGTATTTTAGCTGTTCCCCATGTGCTGAACTGTCACTACTATCAATAGCAACTGTCACTATTGATTTTTTTTTCTTTTATGTGTTTGCTGTAGACTTTTGACAGACCCTTCAATGCCATTTCCATGACACTTAGTCTTCTAGATATTTATTACTGATCCATTGCACCTGACTGTTGTCCTGACGCCACGGGATTTTGTGTTCCAGACCTGTAAATCCAGGCAGTTGTCCAGCGCACCAGCTGTTCTCCATCTATTCTGATGACGCTTTTGGAAGAAGGGCAGTGGTGTGGAACGAGCACCGAGAGGATGAAGACGACCTTTGTGTTTCTATGGGATGGGTCCATGTGGCTGGTGTCCTGGCCCTGCTAGTCATTGGCTGTGCACCCTCCGAGCCTTGGTTGGCTCATTTGTTAACCAGGATTTGTATCCTAGGATCTTTTAGGATTGGCAAATACAAGTCCTACTGTGTTTTGGGTTGAATTTTGTCTCAAAAATAAAAAAAAATAGGTGTTATAAATCTCAACCCCTGTACCTGTGGGTATAACCCTGTTCGGGAACGGGTTGTATTAGTTTAGGGTGTGTTGTAAGTCAGTCTCTTTTGAGATGTAAAAAATCATATGTAAAAAGGCAGCAAAGTCGTCACTGGTAAGGGAAAGCAGATGCCATGCCACAGGGGATCTCAAGGAACTAAGGAAGAGAAGCAGAGAGGGCAGGCCTGGCCCAGAGTCGACACAGAGAAAACAGGGGCCCTGAATGCAGTGAGAAAACAGTGCCCTGTTAGAGCCACCCTTGTGTGGTGTTTGTTTCACCCACACCAGAGTGCAGACCATGCTGACAGTGTTTACAATCTCCAGGAGGAATCTTCGGAACGATCTGCTAAGCTCCCTCTTTTTCCCATTTGAAGACACTGAAGTCCAGGGAGTCTTCCGAGAGCAGGAATCATGCCTCATTCATTTTTTATCCCCAGCATCCAGTCCGGCAGGCACACACCGAGTGTCCAATAAATACTTGACAAATGGGGGAGGTGACCAGTTCCCAGTGACATCCTCTGATTTGGTCTCTGGATGACGCAGGGTTATTATCAACATCAATCACTGTACTTTGCCCTGAGCCAGGAAGCCTGCAGCACCCGGCATGCGATGCAGCAGCGGGCGGGCGACGAGGAAGTTTTCCAACTCCACATGGCTTCTCTCTCCTCTCTGGCTATCACCTGTCCGTTTACCCTGCAGCCATCGGATCCACTTTGAGGAAACTTCATTGCCGTTTCTAGGTGGCCGGGGCAGACCAGGAGGGACTGGACCTTGAGGGGCGTACAGCTGGGCCCCTACCGGAGGCCTTTGTGAGAATCGCCTGGTGCGTGGCAGAATATTACGCAGATTAGAAGCTTCGCCTATTGTAAAGTAGAAGAGACCTTGAAAGCCAGGGCCTAGCCCCCTCAAGTCATGGAAATCTTTTCTGCCTTGCTGACCGCCTGCCTACTACTCTCTGTGCATGGGGTGGTCAGTTGGTCCCGTGGTCTATGTGCAGCTGCTCGCTTCATGCTGGCAATGGCTGCGGATGCCCTGGTCCAGGCCCTGGAATCTCTCTACTCAGTGCCCTGTACTCTTGAGCAGGGCACTGCTCTCAGCAAGAAAATCCCACCTGTACCTGAGAGGTCCCTGGATGGCATAAACTGTCGGTGCTTCACTTCTCACAGGTGGGCAGTTCAAATCCAGCCTGTGGCACTACTGAACAGAGCAGGCTGGGTGGTCTGTGGGTCGCAGCCTTGAAAAGCCCTAGGGAACACGGTTCTGCTCTCTGACACCTGGGGTCACCAGGAGTCAGAACTGACCCAACAGCAATGGGCCTGCTTCCTGGACTAGAGCCCCGGAGCGAACAGCAGGCCCGAGGAATTCCAGGGTGGTTCAGCAGCTCTGGGTTGGAGAAACTAGGAGCAGTGCATGGGGACTCTCTGGAAGGGGTGTTTACACAGAGAGAAACTGAGAAAGACTCAGAAGTGTGAACATGGAGCTGGATGGGGCAGGGGGAGAGAACAGGAGGGGGAGGGAGGAGAGGAAGGTGGGGGAGGAAGAGGAGGAGATCGCTTTGGCTCCAGCTTTGCTCAGAACCCGGTCCCGGTCCCGGTCCCAGTCCCAGAGGAAGTACTGACAGCTGAACTAACTTGATCCCTTCCATCTCAGCACGCCCTCTCCCCAGGAGCCAGTGCTGACATTGGCTCGGGTCCCTTGATTAAAAGGGGGACATGTTGGCTTCCTGGGGGATGTAGACCTTAAGGCCCAAACCAGGAAGGACAAGACAGTGGGAGCAGGCTGAACTGGAAGCTAGGGCGGGAAACTTCAGCCCCCAGGGAGTGAGGGTGAGGGGAGCCCCCTCAACTCTGCCTTGAGGTGGAGAAAGAGCACGGGGCCTGGTGCTCCTCCCACAGCTGCAGTCAATCCTGGTTCTGCATGCCATGCTTTAGGCGGCAGGTGCTGAGGGCAGAGGTAGACATTCCTGGTGGGTTCTCAATACAGAGCAGCAGCAGCACACCGTGAGGGCCTCCGTGGTGGCTTGTTTCTGCGCAGGGCCGAGCTGTGGAGGGCCTGAGAAGGCTGTTTGTGGAGGGCAGTATTCAGCTACCAGGGTCACGTGTCCTGAGCAGATCACTGGATTTGATACATTTGGATAGTTTCGCTGGACCTGCCCACACAGTCCCTCACCTTCCACAACACTTCCGAAATAGCACCATCTATTGTACAGGAGCCCCAAAGTGAAAAAAAACGCTAAACGTAAACCCCAACAAGGCCCCAGAGACGCCTGCCCTTTCAAAGAGTCTGCGTGAACTTTTCCAGAGCAACGTGAAGTCAAGAGGCAAAAAAGAGTGCTTCTCCCTTCCTCGGTGAAGGATGCTACAATCTATGTGCCGGGGGGGGAAGGACCGAGGTCTCACGGAGATGACAGGACTCACAGATGCACCGCCATGGGCTGCCGACAGTGATATCATTCACGCTGTCGGTGTCTCGGCACTGTTTTTCCTCCAGTTCTCCAGAAGCCTCCCCCGCCACCCCATGTTTGGTGTTCCACCAGGAGAATGTCCCCTCTGCTCACTCCGGGTCAGACATACAGCCACGCCAGGAAGGAGACAGGCGCCCCTTGCTCACGGGCGTGCACATACAACCACGCACAGCCAGTCATGGTGCCTGGACCCCTCTCCTTCAGCGGCCTGCACCCAGAGGAGCACGCCCTCCCCCACAGCCCCCTGGTGCGCCGAGCTGGAGCCAGATGTTCCGTGGGCAGAGCCCTCCGTGGGCTGGCAGGCGGTGATTACTGTTGCCAGCCCCACATTAGGAGAGAATTGAATGGGAGCGAGCCCCCACCTTCTCCTGGCTCCCCACAATAGAGCCTTTGTGAGGTGCTCAGCTGTCTTTCTTTCCCACTGCCTCACCAACCTACGTCAGGAGCCGCTCTGCCTGCAGGAGAAGAAAAGAAGACAAAAGGAGGATCCCGGGGCCCTGACTGATGCGCCCTGCCCTGGGGCCGGGAAGAGCAGGCTGTGTCCCCCATGTCCCTCCCTCCCAATTAGGGTAAAGAGCCGGGAGGCCTCCCAGGGCCACCGGGGTCAGGTGCCGAGAGCCCCAGACCAGAGCCCTGCCGCTCTGGCCTTCTCTCCCTTCCTCAAAATGCCTTCCGCCACCTTCGGGTAAGAGGCCAGGAGATGAGGCCAGAAAGGGTTAAGTTTCTGGGCCGGGGCAGGCTGTGGCCAGGTCTGGGACTAATGGGGGCTGGAGAAAGAGAAAGCTGGGGGATGGAGGAGATCAACATCTGGGGCATGGTGGGTCGCTGCCCCTCCTCCCCACCGGAACCGCAGACGCTGCGCCAGCAGGAAAATCCAAGCTAGGGAGCGAGCGAGGCTCCAACCAAGAACAATTGTGCAACCGGCCTGGGACGAGCGCGGTGCCAGAGGTGGGAGTGGGCGGTTTGGGGCTAGGGACCGGCCGGCTTCAGGGGGTCAGGCCCGTAAGCTCACACACTCCAGGCTCTGGCGTCCACACTAGACTACACGCCATTAGAATTCACCGTCTTGCCTAAACACCTCTGGGCGTTGCCACTGGAAGCTGTGCTCCTGGGGCCCTGTCTCTCCGGCCAGGGGCGCCAGGCCACTGGTGGTTCTGGGAAGCCGCTGTGGATGGCAGTGGGCGTGGGGGAGGCCTTCCCCAGGGACCTCACAGCACCATCTGTAACCAGAGATGGCCCAATCCTCCCTGGGCAACAGGGGCCCAGCCAGGCCTTCAGTGGGGCCCAAGGCGTGGGAATGGGAGGGAGGAAAGGGAGAAGCGGGGCTGTGGAGAGAAACTTGATCCCAGGGCTGGCTACCCCAGACACACACAGGAAAGAGCAGGGGGGTTTCTTTTTAATAGGAAATGTTACGAAACGTTGCGATACAAAACCACCCGGAGAAGGCCCCATTCTTCAGGAACTAGTAAGGGAGACCGAGCAGAGTTCAAAGCTGTCTTCTCTTTCCCTCCTCCCCAAGGCGCACCCAGGGCAAGAGACATTCTGTTGTCTGCTTGCTGGGGTTGTCACCCACTCCCCAGCCCTGGGTTCTCTCTGGCTGGACTGAAAACGTGTTGATGCCGGGCAGGAGGCGGGGCTTCTGTTGGCCAACCAGAAGGGATTTGAACCCTAACTTGCCCACATTTGGAGAATGCCGACCAGGACACAACCACCAACAATAAACGTACAAAGAGTGAGAGAGGCACAAAGCCTCAAAGCTGGCTCCTTACACTTCCTCCTCCTTCTTCCTCATCTCCAGCTTGTAGACAATCTGGTAGCCATCATCCCAGGCATAGAGCTGGCGCTCTCGGGGGTTGTAGCGGAGGCTGGCATGGGCGCCGTACCGGCGGGGGAAGTAGGGCAGTGCTGCCCGCTCGGGGGACAGGGTGCCACTGGCATCGAAGGAGCACTGGATGCGGGCCCGGCTGGCGGGGCGGGTGTTGTAGACGACGTACAGGGTTCCACAGATGACAAAGGCGGCCTCGGCATTCTCTCTGGGGCACGGGGTGTCCCACTGCTGCTCGGTGTCCAGCGTCTGTGGGTCTAACTTGGCCAGACACAAGTGCCGGTCATCCTCCTGAGTGGCATAGACAGCCCAAAGGCCTTCTTCATCAGCTGCCAGGTCAATGTACGTGTCTGCCGTCAGCCCGTACGGGGGGATCAGCGCTTCTGCTGGGAACACAGAACTGTCCACCACGGTTCGGTTTGCCAGGTGGAATTTGATGAGTTGCAAGGTGTTCTCCGATTCAGCCCCGCCTCCAGGCCCTCCAGGCGGCCTCCGGGCATAATAGAGAAACCCCCCATACACCAGCTGCCCTGTGCCTACCCAAGGGTAGGGCACCCGGACCCGGGCAGCTTTCCGGGCCGCCATGGAAAGGGAGAAGTCACGCAGCCTTGGGAAGACAATGGCCGTGTCGTTCTGCGTCCCGTCTAACACGTAGATCTTCTCTGCTGGCCCCAGGGGATCCTTGGTCCACAGTCCAGCAGAGCCGCCGAAACGCCGCAGGATCTTCACTGACCTCACCTGGGAGATGGTGTAGCTACAGTCTGGTGAGGAGGAGAGCACAGGAAAGGGAGAGGCAGGTGAGGACTGAGGTCCATACAGCAAGAACCCCTAGGGTGGGCTATAGGTTCAACAGTAGGCACTTGCCCACAGGAGGCCAGGGAAAGACACAGGCCACCAAGGGAGCCCGGGTCCCCAGAAACTCTCCTTTAATGGGCCTGCCATCAGAGAGGTCTCCCCAAAACAGATCCCTGAAGACAGAACCACAGTGGCTTGGGGCAAGGAAAGAAAGGCCAAGAACCAGGGAAGAACACGGGTCCTGGGCGCGTGAGAGGCCTGCCTTTTAGATCACTTGCTTACCTGTCAGCATATCGTACTTCTCATTCCGTCTGCCCTTGCCTTTGGTCGCAGGGCCTCCAGTCACCTTCTCCTCAACCTCTACACAGGGCAGAGCTGGGTTCTGCGTCTCCAGATAATCCACCTCCCGCTCCAGACGGTCCACTCTCCCCGAGATGGAGTCCGCCTCCGTCCGGAGCGCCTCCCGCTCCTTCTCAGCCACCTCCAGCAGCGGCAGCATCTTGTTCTTGAAGTCCCGCAGCTCAGCTGCATGGCGACTGCTCTGGTCCTGGCACTGGGCCAGCCGTTCCTAAGGAAAGGCAGGGGGAGGGGGAAGGGGGGAGCAGGAGGAAGGGCAAAATGGTTACAACTCAAGGCAGAGAGGGAGGCCCAACCCAGGGGATGGGAGTCAGGAATAGGAAAAAGCACACCCTCTGGGCCAGGTTTCAACATCCCCTTTATCTCTCCTCAGGAAAGGAAACCAGATGTTCAGCGATGCTAAGTGTGCAGAAAGCCCTGCTCAGACTCACCTGGGCTTCTGCCCCTACTCCTGGTCCTCCAGGGCCACCAAATCAGCCCCGCCTCTAGGGAGATCCTGGTGCATGCAGGTAAGAAGGGGTCGCTGTCTCCTCTTGGGAATTAACATGCTGCAAGCCTCCACCTTCAAACGGCAGGAAGTTGCAAATTCCCCGGAACCCCCAACTTCTAGACTGCTCTCCTGACAGACTTCCCCCTAACTTTATCTCTCCCCCGCCTCCTTGCCCCAGCAAATCCCAGGTATAAAAGACTGAGTCAAGTTGCTTCAGCACTGCTCTTGGGGGGAGGGGGGGGGCAGAGGAGGGCTTGCCCTTTTGAATGTTGTCTTCTTAAAAGAATGGAATGACCTGGCGGTTCTTTGAGGGCCTTACCTTATCATCCGCAGACCCCTGACAAACTGGCTAAGTCACCAGATGTGGAATCCCCCCCACAATGGACCAGGGGGAAAAACCAGAGTCCCTCACCTCTAAGGCAGCCAGTCGGCGTTCCATGTACTCCACAAGGTGGTGCTGCTGTCCTCCAAGGGGTCCCCACCACGACAACAGGAGCCAGAGGAGGAAAGGGGTGCTGGGCCCCATGGCAGCCCAGCGAGGGGGGTGCTTGTAGTCTGTCCGTCTCTTCCGCTCTAGACCCGGGGTTGGCTTTGGAGGCGGGGTGGGGGCGGTGCCTTCTCTCTGGATCTTTCTCACTACTCTGGAATGCTTTCATAGTCTCTTTACAGCCCCCACCCCCTCCTTTCCGCCTGGATTGATCAAATACAGATGGTCCCGCTGCAGAGGAGCCAGAAGCCTGAACCACCTCCCACTGAGGCCGCAGGCTGCCCAGGCAAAGGGAGATGGGAAACCCTCGGGCAGAGGCCTCTGGGCAGCCACCCAGGGAAAGGTGGTGGCTGTGGGAGGCAGAGGCAGATAGACCTCCAGAGAAAACACAGCCAACTGGTACTGTTTTAGGAGTGCTTCCAGTACTGACTTCTGAAGCAAATGACAGCCTACACTAATCTCTCCTTTGCCTGCAGTAATAGAACGGATTCCTTTTTCTGCCTGGTTCAGAAGAAGCTGAAAGAGGGACAAATGAGGTGTAAAGACAAAGTAGAGGGGGGTAAAAAGGCCAGAGTGGTCAAGTTTGTTCTAATTTCTACAGCTCACTGGCGCCACCTTGTGCTATGCGCACGGTGTCACGGATTGACTCACAGGGAAACTAGGCTTAAATTTCACCCCATGTGGAAAATTTTCCACAAAGCAGGTCAAGTGCATTCTCAGCATGCCAATGGACTAAAACCCAGATATCTCCCACAGACTATCCAGTTACTTTAGGGGGTGGCCCAACTTGTTAAGAGAATATAACAGAGAATGAAAATGACAGCAACCCTGCCCCCCACCCTCCCCTGAAAGGACACTAAAAAGTTGTCTGATTGACTTGTGCTTCTCTGGAATGAGAATGACCGCCGAGCAGGTCCACGAAAGCCTTCCTCTGCCTGAAAGCTCACGGGTACATGTGCTCCCCAAAACAGCCATGCTCAGCAAGCTGACACTGAATTTACATTCATTTATCTGGGAAAAAACATCAAAAATATGTGTGTCGCCATCTAAACCAAAAGAAATCTCTGCTGACCTCTGGGCTGCTGGGAGAGGAGATATAGACAACTGACCGCTGTCTCTGGGCTGCGGTCCCAGAGAGCATTTCTTGCTTCTACAGCCCAATCAGGACTTATGAGCCCACAAGGAAGTCGCAGCCACCACAGAACAGACAGCCCGAAGCACACGTGTCAAAAGTGGTGAAGCAAACCCATTTTTACACACAAATCTCTCAGAAGAAAGTCAGTTTACTTTAGAACCAAGAGAAGTCTGATCAGAGCTGTTCCTTCTCTCACAGGGCCGTCGGGAAAGGAGGGAAAACAGCATCTCCCTATCTTTCATCGGCAACTTAGGGTGTCTGGTAAGGCATTCTAGGATCCAAAGTCTAATGACCCTTCATCTGTTTCTTTCTAAGGCCATGTCCACCTCACTGGACACTCTCCATTCTTAGGAAGTGTTCCCCTTATTCCTTGCCACAGCGGAGAGGCGTGGCCCATCTGTCTCTAGTACTCTACTGATGGTCAGGCACAATCTATCAAGCCACCTCCACAGATGCCACTGGCCGGTCCCCTTTGTCCCCTATAAACACAAGCAAAGCCGGCCATGTGAATCAGAAAAGTTACCCATTTTATTGATGCATTGCAATTGCTCTACATTTTACCATATTATGTAGAAAATACTGAAAATACAAGCTACTTTGTAAAACCAAAGACAAACAGTGAATCCAAAGATAAACTATGTTTTACACAATGGACCCCTTTCCCTTAGTTAGTATTAAATTTTAAATATCTATTTCCTTTGTTAAAATGATTATTTTACATACTCCCTAGTACATTGGCATTACAAACAGAGCGCGGTAATTCTCAGAAACTATGTTTCTAGAGGCTTGTTGTAAAGGCGTACAACCAGAAAAGGGAGAAAGCAAAAAATAAAAAGTGTAAATCGCACACAATAAACTAGCAATATCAAATACATTTAATAAAGTAGGAATTCCATTGCAATATCAAGGGTTCAAAGCAGAAATACTAACATTACATATAATGTACATATAATGTACTGCTACATGTAGTGAGATTATTTTTCAAGCTGAATTGAAACCACACATTATATAAAGTTTAGCAACAAACAACCATGTAGACATGCTGCACTATCCATCAGTTTAAAACAAAACAAAATAAGAAGCAGGCTTGGCCCATTCCTGTCACTGAGTGGTGATTGCATTTCCTGTCCTATAGCAAACCATCCCCACCAGTGGATTCTTGCATAATAACGCTGACTAAAACATGAGTGGCTGTGCTTCCCTGGCCGAGGGCAGCCAATAGCAGCCCCTCTAGTGGTGGCTGGTGGATGAGCAGGCTCAGATTGGCCAGCACGATTTGAAATTGGAGGTCTTGTTCCTGGGCTTGGTCATCAGACACTGACAGAGTGGTCACCTCTTGGGAGTTGCTACCAACTCAAGAGTGATTATGTGTCCTGATGAACCTAGATTGGCTATGCTGAACCATTCCCTCCTCCCTCTCTGGGGCTGAAGGGAGAACCTGGCCATGCAAGTTCGCAGAGGACTTGCAGCCTTGGAGCTCCTTAAGCTAGTTTAAGGTCAGGCCACCATGACCCGGGCCAGATACTCACTAAATTCATGGGGCTTCCTTTCCTCAGCCAGACAGGGCTGGCAATGTTAAAGCGTCAGGGTCAGGATCGAAAGTCACAGAAAACAGCCGAGTGTTCACCCTGTCGTGTCTCAAATGCCAATTTGCTGGCTAAGACCCAAGATCCTAAAATTCTTAAAGCCACACACAGCAATGCGATGAAGGTAACGCTGTTGGCATGATCTTGCCTGGAGAGTTTAAGACCCCTGCCTTAAAAATGGTTACTGGGCCAGCGCCAGGGGAGGGCTATTTTGTTTTGTTTTCTCCCTGCATCTCATTTCTTACAAAAACAACGAAGCTGTCCCTTATGGAGGGAAGGGAAGGGCATACAAATGTCTCCGTTGGAAACATCTGACCTGCATTTGAGCAAGAAAATCAGAATGTGCTTGGCAAAAATGAGACATGGACGGAGATGACCCAGTGTTCAGAAAACTGAGTGACACTAATGACAAGAAACTACAGTCTGCGACACTATCTTGACCAATACAGTGCTGGAAACTAAACAGAATGACTGAGAAAAAACAAACAAAAAAACAACACAGAAAATACCGACATGTTCCTGGTAGGCTGTACTGAGTACCTGTCCCATCTTGGAAGCCCTTGCTCCTTACAATGAAGAAAACTCCAAATACCTTGACAGCTCCTCGCGGTTTGGCCCTGCCCAGCACGTGCTGACCGGGCTCCATGAAATCTCCCATCTCCACCCTGCACCTCCTTGACACCATCTCGACACAGAACCAGTCCTGGAATTATCCCCCAGACAGACCATCCTCCGCTCGGATGGAGCCCATCTGTATCGTAGGGTTAACCTTCTCCCCTAGCCCAAAACCCCTTTACTGGCAGGAATGCTCCCACCTCCCGACCCCTTCAACTTGACCCAGATCCGTGCAGGAGCTGAGAGGACAAGGACAATTTCACAGCTTGAAGGGCTCCAAGAATATAGGAGTTGCTGACAAGAAACCTCACAAGTCCCAGGGATTCAACAGGCTTTGGTCTCTTCTTAATATTTTTCAGCCACTAAGAAACCTTTGTGAGCTCCCTGTTGTTACCAGTGGCAACACAAGCCAACTCCTCAGAGTATGGGGACACAGTAAGCAATACAACAGGCTCTTTGGTATGAACACATCTGTTACAGGTTTTTCCAACAATATTTTACTAGGAATGTTGACTACGTGCACAAAGGGCTGCCACATGGGAAAGGGGGCAGGGCCAGGGGGGCATCATTTTAAAAGTGATTGCGCATACTTGAAAAGGCAGGTTTACTATTGATGTGACTCCTCTCACCGGCTCCCTAAATTCTCACAGAAGCAAGGGAGCATGACACAGTGAGAGGGACATCAAAGAGGAAGCCCTCCAGGGAGAACTGGGCTGAAATTCCCAAAGGGCGAGGGGTCGAGGTGGCTGCTGTTTTCGCTTTAGGATGTCGGCAGGGAAACTGAGAACAATGCATTTTATACAACACAGCTGCTAGTCCTGTTCTGATAGAAATCTCAGTGAACAGCTTAGGATCCCGGGGGCTTGCTGTTCCATCCTAAGGCAAGCTCACTGTAAACTCTATTAACCACTACATTATCATATAAGGCACTACAATAAGGGAGGAGGGAGAGAGGGAAGAAAGAGACACACACTGAACAATCCTCACCAGACACACCTGTGCAAAACAATTCCAAGGGTCTCCTCTCCTTGCAGGCAAAGCCCCTGCGCATTCAGCACTACAGTAATATGCTCTAAGATAACTGTAATTAGTTCACATACATTCCAACAAGCATCAGTTCATTTTGGTTTAAATACAATGGAGACATCGATTCCATCTCCGGGGTAACACTGGAGGATCAGATACACACTAGGTACACAATTCAAGTGTAATCACTACACATGTTGATTACAAATAACATTTGGGGTTAGCAGGAAAAATTACCTTGTTATATTTTCTTCTAATCATTATGTACAGATTTAATTATGCAAAATATTAAAACACCACCATTACAAAACTTCTAAAATATCTTTAAATTCAGTAATAAACTTTTAAAATATTTTTTGTTTTGTTTTTTGTTTTTTTGCAATTCCTACATGCACTTATTGGATAAGTCATAATGAGAGAGCATTCAGTTTGCTGCTGGCATACAAAGGAAGCTACTTTAAAGTATAAAAACGATCCACAACAATGTTCTCATCTGATTTCAGCTTCTTTAGCTCTCTCCCCGAACAAACCACATAAAACAGAACGGAGAGATGAGGCAGAGAGGTGGCAGAGAGAGGTGGATTACTGGAAATTCAGACACATCTTTAGGCTAAGCTCACCAAGGTCAACACCCCTCAGGCAAAGCTCATCAAGGCCAGGATTTCATAATACAAAGAGACCCTGCATACAATGTAGCCACCACCACACAATAACCACCTTAGTTTAATGGCTTTTCTCATAATAAAATTGAAGCTGACTCACAGGGAGAGAAGGACGTTTAAAAACCATTCTAAAAGAATGCAGAGTGCTTTGACCATACAGAGTCTCTGACATTAAGCTGTAAGCAATGCTGAGCTGCCTGGGCAAGACTGTACAACACAGGTGCAGGTGCGGCAGAGAGAATTCCAGCGGTAACCCAAAGCAGCACATGGCCGTCTTCCATGAAGTATCGTCGAGACGTGACAACCAAGCGGAAGCACTCCAAGTGGAAATAAACAAAGATGCCCTCAACATTTCGAGGACAAATGCGGGATGGTGACGTGCAGGTGAGTGCCAGTTGCTTTGGAACTAGAATCGGGCAAACAAGTCTGTTTTTAAACACACGAAAAGCAATTGGCTTTCTTTTTTCTTGTCTCACTTCGGTACCACAGTTCAAGTCCTTCTATCAACACCTGTCTCCTCTCAGCAATGAAAATAAAACAAAGTTAAAACAGTGCGGGGCTTCACTTGTTTGTAAAAGCATTTATCGAAATCAAGTCAGAGAGATGAAATCGTTCTCAAGGGGTGACTGCAGAATGAATGACGGCTCTCCCCTGGTGATTGATTATGCAGATGATGGGCACCTGAATGCTCCCCAATACCAAAAATGCTGTCACAAAAATAAAGAATTAAAAACAGGGCAGACTTGGGAGACTACAATGCAGTCAGACACTGAGACGGTTTCCCGGAGAAAAGCCTTCTACTTCACGGGCCCCTGGCAGCGCACGTGGCTGGCTGAGGAGTTTGAAGAGAGGGTGAGGGAGGCGCTCAAATCACGCAGGGATGGGAATGAAGGATCAGGAACAGGCAGCCAGGGCCACTCCTCCCTCGTGCTCACCAACTACAAGTAGGAATACTGGCTGATCTTGGTGGGACTCAGCGGGTATCCAGTGTAAATTGTGGAGCCTCGGGAAGATCCAATGTAGGACTGGGTGGCAAACTGGTGTTGGTACTGAGCAGGGGCCACGCTAGCAGAAGTGAGGAGGCTGGGCCCCACACTGACGGGTACCTGGTGGACCAGAGTGCTGGGGTGCGTGGTGTAGGCTGCAGCGTGCCTGGAGGACCCTTGAGGGGAGAAAAGGTGAGCAATGGAGCTGGTGGAGCCCAGGGCCGCTGCAGAGGTGGGGGCTGCATACGTATACAGGTGAGGCTGGCTTGGCAGGTGAGCGGGGGCTGGGGCCAGGTGTGGATGCCCTGCCGAGTGGAGTGGGCTGCCATGCTGGAAGGCGTAGGGGGCTTGGGAGAGCGGGGCCACAAACGCCTGCTGTCTGCGCGGGGCAGGGTTGCTGCTTCTCTCTTGCGTGGTTGGAGCTGATTGCTGGTTCTGGAAGGAGGAAGAAGGGAGTGAGGAATTTTGAAGAAACTGTGGGGTTCAGGGCAGCAAACAGAGTTGAGTTTCTGACTTGCATTGTTTCTGGGAGGCCACAGCACAGACTCTCCCAGGTTGGCAATGCTGTCAGAAGCCAGCCATCTGTTCCTCTGCCTCTTGGCAGAATAGACTTAACCCAGAAGGTAGCAGTTTGCTCTTAAACGTGACGGAGTAAGGGGTAGTGCAAAAGTCATTGGACTTCCCCATCCGGCAAGTTAGTAACCAGTGACCCAACTCACCCTATTCTGGCTGCAATAAATTTGAAATTTTCCTAACCTTTCTTGACATTCTTTTCTTTTGGTCTCCTCTAGGTTCTTCTTATTTGCACTAGCACATGCACTAACTCAAGCTTACGTTTACACTTGTGCGTGTGCATGTTCACACACACACACATACAGTTACACCTGATGTTTTCATTTTCACACTGGTAGACAGCAGACAACCACCAGAATTTTAGCTGAAGAAGAAAGAAAAAAGGAAATGACCAGGCCTACACCATCAGAGGACAAGACAAGGGAGAAACTCACCTAACCCAGCCGCTAGCAAAGCATAAGCAATATTAAGCCCGGTTGCTTAAGTAGCCAGAAAGTTTCTCACTGTCTCTTGACAGTGAGGTATGCAGAGGGAGGTTCAGGCTAATTATGGCCTGGGCAATACAGGAAGAGAATCTGGCCTCCAGGTGGCGCAGCCCGTGGAGTATGGCAGAACCAGGCACTGTGGAAGCACCCTAAGCTTTCTTAATTTCAGACATTTCACTACTCTTCCAAGATAGACTAAGTTTGGTGGGAAACCTGGAGTGCACTTCCCAAGCACACTTACAGAAGGATTGAAGAGACAGCCCATGCACACACGACGCAGGCCACAGAACACCAGATGGCTGGACACAAAAAGAGGCTTCATTTGGCTTTATTCCGCAGTCCAGCCAGAAGAGGGTTTCTCCAGACAGTAACAATAGAGGGGGGCCCAAACAGAAAGCAGCAGCCCCTAGCGCTTACCTGGCTAAGGTTGAGTGGCTGCACTGCGCTGGTCCCCCCGCGTGGAGCTCGGTACCCTGTGGGGGTGATGCAGCATCCAGATGACTGCCCACTCACCGAGGCCACTGGCTTGGTCTTACTGCTCAGAAGCCCTGAAAGAGTGCCGGGGCTGAGTTAGTCACCAGTAGACATTTGCTCAGTACCACGGAGCCACACAATTCAGATGGCTTAATAAGAGCACGTTCGTACGTGTTTTGTAAGAGTTAGGTTCTCATGCGTGTATCTCATTGCCTTACTTATATTTACACCAGCAGACGAGTGTGTCTTAACTATCTCTTCCTACCTAACTACAAAGCTCCATAAAGGAACCTGTGGCTTTAGGTAGGAAGGGATGAAACAAGTATAAAAAAGTTGATATACAACTATTGGTCATTCTCAAGATGTGGAAGCGCCAAAGGGTTTATTTACAGAAAGGCAAAGTTGTATCTTGTTGGGCATTTACTGTCTTCAAATCTAAGAAACTAAAAATAGTTGAATGCAAAGAAAGACCTTTTTTCAAGTTTTTGCTTCCTCCTGTGTTCCCATAAAGAAAATGAAGGCATTTATTATGAGACCTGGAGAGTAGTCCACATTGTTTGGATCCAAGAGTGAACAGAGCTCCCAAAATTTCCCAGGAAAGTTTGTCTGGTCTGCAATGGGCAGCAGCTGTCTTCTTCTGAAGAGAATCCGACTGAGCTGTGCACAAGACCAGCCACCACTGAGAGAACCCCGACTCTCAGTGACACCATGCATGTTGGAGTACAGCTGAGCGTTTGTGGGGTTTTCAACAGCTCTAGAACCTTATTCCAAGCTGCCTCTGGGTAGAACCTTCAACCTCTCGATTAGTATTTTGAAAGTCTCTCAAATTAGAGCCTACAGTACTAACACAATCTACAGGAAATCAGTATACAAGTATGGCTGAGATGGTTTCTCTGACAACAGAAACACACGCTGCCACACTTCCTTGGTGTGGAGTGCCACTGGGGAGCAGCAGGTACGGCTGCATTTCCTGGGCCCTGCCTCGGTGGGGCCATGGAATCAGGTGAAAGTGATTAAGAGTGTGTCTGCCTTCTCCACGGTTTCTTTCTCCTTCTAACTGCAGGCAGAAAGTGCCAGGGCTTCAGGACAAGGCTGGGGAATATCAGGCCCAAGAACCACATAACCGTCAATACCAACTCCCACCACACACCACACCAAAGCCAAAAGTTCCCACCATTGCATTAAAGTGAGTTAATGAAATGTCTGATCAGGTAGAGCAGGCTAATTTTTAAGTTGATAATTTTGCATGGCCGTGAAATGATTGTTCTAAATATCCAATTGGCCCTTGGCAGAGCCAAAAAAAGCTGAAGGGACCAGGGGGTCCTGAACTCACTGCAGGCCTACTACTGCCCTCCCCAGGAACCTTTGGGAAGTTTGGAGTGGGAAGGAAACATCTGTGTCTGCAGCAAGCACCACCCAAGAATACCATGGATACTAGAGTATCCATCTGAGAGTAAAATAAGGGGGCAGGGCAGAATCGGGTCGATAATAAAATTGACAAAAATACCATCGCTATGACAAACTCTAAAGGATATATTATTTGCCAGAAAACTTTTGCAGCTATTTTTAATATTAGCATTTCCTGGCCAATCTAAGTGTCGGTTCGTCATCCTGCCTGTAGACATCTGGTCCACCTTCACCCATCAACTGTGAAGGGGTTTCTGAACCTGTGTACACACTCACTTAACATTAATACAAGCAACAACAAAAAAGGAAAGGTGGCGCCAAATCATTTCATCCTGCACGGACGAGTGCTCAATTAACTGTCTGTTAAGCATGTCTGGCTGCTATCTGTAGAGCACCAGGGTAAACGATCTGGGTAGATGACAGCATGCAAGCATGCACTCCAGCTGTGAAGACACTCACCTGAGGCCTGCGTTGCTACAGTGCAGTCGCCAAGCTGAGTTTTCAGAGGAGGCACAATGATGGTGCGGGTGCCGGCGGCGTCTGCCAGGACCCTGCCGGGCCCCTCCAGGAGAGACCCGCTGTTGCCTCGGAGAGCATTCAGGGTGTCAGTGGAATAGGGGCTGCTCAAGGAAGAGTCCGAGTCTGGAGAGTCATTGACAGTGACGTAGCTGATGACATTGGACCTTGGCTTCATGCCAGAGCTGAGAAGAAAGCACAGAGAATTTCAACAGCCCATTCAGCAGGGTTCCGTCAACCATTTTCAGTCTTTCTGTGATGGTGGTGACAACGATGACAGGAACCAGAATAATAGCAGCTGCAAAACTGAGTGTTTATTACAAATCAGCCGTTTTCTTACACCCTACACGCACCTCATTAAGTCCTCCCCACACTCCTCTGAATATCAAGTGGGCTCTACAAAGCCCATTTTGCAGATGAGGAAATCGGGGCCTGGGGAGGTTAAGGTCGCAGGTAGGTAAGAGAGTCAGACTCATGACAGATGACACTCCAGTCCACACCTCTAACGACAACTCCATGGTACCTCTTCGCCATTTCCATGAACTACTGTGATGTAGCCATTTTACTTTTTAATATACAAGTTTATAATATACACGTTTATATTATCACAATATATACACATGCTACAATATACACAATAAGCACATAAAAACACATGCCAATTCAACACTTCCTTCATGCACAATTCAGTGACATGTATGCCATTCTCTGAGTTGCCTGGGGACAATTATTGTGATGATACTCTTCTAAGCCCATTTTTTAATATCCCCTCTAGAATACAAATTGTTCCTTACTCTATAAAAACCACTTTCTCATTCCGTCACTGATTGATCCTCACTTTACAAACTAAGGAGGCCTGGTGGCATACTAGGTTATGAATACGTTAGCAGTTTGACTCCATCAGTCCCTTGAGAAAGAGAAGCTTGCTGCTCCTCCAAGGACTCAGAGACCCAAAGGGGCAGCTCCACTCTGTCCTAGAGGGCCATTACGAGTCAGAATTGACTGGATGGACCTGGGTTTGAGTCACTAACTTTAAAGAGCCCTGGTGGCCCTCTGGGTTAAAACATCAGCCTGTTAACCTCAGGGTCAGTAGTTCAAACCCACCAACTGCTCTGCATGAGAAAGATGAGGCTAACTGATCCTGTGAAGATTTACAGTCTTGGAAACCCTACAGAGCAATTCCTAGAGGGTTGCGGCAAGTCATATCTACGTGATGGCAGAGGGTTTGGTATTGGGTGTACTAACTTGAGTTTTCCCTTGCTTTCTAATAGACTAGCACATCATTCAGAGGAATCCAATATGTACTTCTCTTATGTGTAAGTCACTCTTCCTCACTGGAAGAATCACTCTTTTTCTCTTCCCCCAGTAGTCTGATGGTCTCTTTCAAAATTCAGTTTCCAGTGCACAAATTTACAAATTTGAAATACTTTATTTTTTAATTTCAAATAATAAATTTTTATTATTTCAAATACTTCATTTATTGTTAAAAATACTTTTCCAAGTTCATTTAAATGTATATATGAATCCGTTAGGTCTTCTAAGCGTTATGTCTGAATCTTACCTAAGTAAAAAGCTGGGTCATCTCTCTTAGTTAAGTGACCAATTAAAGTACTAAGGGACTGTGATAAAAGGAGATAAACTGAAATTTTATTTCATAAGCATTTTAGGTCTCAAAGCTGAGGTCTACAGGTTTAATGAACTCTTATTTATATCCCTCTGCTGTGGCATCTAAGAAGCCCTGCTGGCATAGTGGGTTACACACTGGGCTGACAACCACAAGCTTGGGAGTTCAAACCTACCAGCTGCTTCTAGGGAGAACTATGAGGCTTTCTGCTCCTTTAAAGATTTATAGCCTCGGAAACCCACAAAGACAGTTCTGCCCTGCCCTATGGGATCACTATGCATCGGAATCCACTCGATGGCAGTAGGCTGGGTTGGGTTCTAGTATCTGCTTTCAGATTATAACATTGCTTGGAGGCAGGGAGCCTGTCTGTAGTGTAATGTGCATTTCAAGCTAGAGTAGCCTGCCAATATAAACCTGTTGTCTACAAGGCTGGTTTAATGGATGAGCACAGGTATGACTATAAAACCATATATGCTCAGCTATGGAAACTCATCACACAACATCTCTTTCTCATCTCTTTCTTTCACAACCCAAACAGAGCCACCTGCCTGAGGTCAAGCTGCAGAGCCAGGGCATCATTCCACTGTCTTACCTATTGGGCTTGTACTTGTTGTCCTCTTCCTCATCAGTGTCACTGCGGATGGTGATGACGCTCACAGGAGGGCTGGGAGTGTCTGGAATGATGATTGGCTGATGCTGGTCTTGGACGGGGACTAGGGAGTTGTATGAAGACGTGGTGCGAAGGGGGCTGCTTCCAACCAGAGAGTAGACTTGGGAAGGCAATGTGTCTAGAGAGGGCCTGCAGGAAAGGGGCACAGGGAAAGATGGCTCAGTCCTCGACCCCCTTCCCCAGAACCCTTTCCATCTCTTCTTCCCTTCCTTTTAATTGTGCCAGTGAACTAAGGCCCACAACTATAAGAACCCCAGTGAAAAAGGCAGCAACAACACTGGTCAGGGGTTTTAGGCATGAGAGCAGCAAACAACAACAGAAAACATTTTTGGTATGCCCCTTGACTAACTCTTGGTCAAATTTCACTCTGTGAGGTGGGCAGAAAAACGCAAAAACCATCTGAAGAAGGCTTAGATCCAGGAAGATAACCAGCAGGCCACACCTGCTTGCATGCCCAGATGGAAATGTGAGCACATCCTCAATTTGGCAGGTGCTGGCTGCCACACTCCAAACACTGGGCGCCTGATGTCTCATACGGGCACTGCTTAACTATGGCCTTCACGAAGACTTACTTGGAAGAGGCCGGGGCAGATTGCTTATTCTTCTTGGAAGGGAGGGAGCTGGAATGCTGCTGTCTAACAACATGGGCAACACCAACATTCAGGGGCTGAGCAGCAGACAGAGTCACATGGTTAGTCAGCAAGGACGGCTGCTGCATGATCGTGCTGTACTGGTTGCCATGAGAGTGGGCATTCCTGTGGGAACAGAAAAAAACGGGGTGACTTCAAACCCCCCAGAGAGCCAGGATCAACCAAACCAGGCATTAAAATCGGTTGAAATGGGTAGAGTTGCATTTTATTTTTAAAGCTGGGGAACTAAATTACCCATCTTGGGCTTTTAATCTCTGGCTTCCAGGTGCCTAACATTTTCTTTAAGTCTGGAGTAAATGGTTCCCAATCTTAGAACCTACTGTTACTTTACTTCAAAGTTTTCTTATAAACTCCATCTCCTAGTCTGATGGGAATCATTAGCACCAAGGATTTCAGACAGAGATCAATGTCTCCTTTCTTATTTTCTCCTTCCCTCTTTGAGGTGTCTCTAGACCAGCGGTTCTCAACCTGTGGGTCGCGACCCCCCTGGAGGTCAACCGACCCTTTCACAGGGGTCACCAATTCATAACAGTAGCAAAATGATAATTACGAAGTGGCAGCAAAAATAATTTCATGGTTTTGGGGGAACATGAGGAACTGTATTAAAGGGTCACGGCATTAGGAAGGTTGAGAACCACTGTCTAGGCCATCAAGTGCCCCTACCCTAGGGATGTCCCAGAGAAAAACACGGGGCACTTGCCTCCAGTCGGCTAGCTGCTGACCACTGCCCAGGGCCTCTGGAATCACTGCTGTGGGCTGGACAGAGTTGTGGAGCGCTACTCCAGGCAGCTGCTGCCAGGTTGAGGGCAGGAGAATCTGCTGGGTTCCTCCAGGCCAAGCTTGCTGCAAGGAAACACACAGAGAGACCCAACACTTGACTTTTTTCGCTTTTTCTTTTGTTTTTGTTTTTCAGATGAAAGAAAAATATGTATCTTAAAAGAAGTTGCATGTAGATTGTTAACTTGCAGAGATTTTAAAAAGAGAAAGGTCAGAGGGGCCAAGGCTACAAATCATATCAACAGGGAATAAGGGCAAACTGCTTTCTCTTGGCCATTTCCCATGAGCAGGTGACCAAGGTGACCAGCAAAGAAGACCCCTGCGATAAGAGGAAAGGAGTCTGAAAGTTCAGAAGCAAGTGCTGGATAAATGCTGGGGATATTGTTTTCACAAAGATTTAATACACAGTCCTTAAAAGAGTTAAGCGAACTGCTTTGAAATTAAAAACAGGAATTTAAAATTTTTTAGTTCCAATCAGAGAAGACATCGGGTCAATTCAGCCATAAAACAAAAGGCAGAATTGTTCACTTTTTAAAAAGGGTAGTACTTGGAAAATGGAGCCAGATGTGGATGACCAAAGGCCAAAATCCTTTGGCAAACAAGCTTATGCTACTAGCAAGAGAAAGCTAACCTCATCATTTGCAGCCGTACGGCAGAATTGGAGAATACAGCAATAAGTAAAATATTTAAGAAATAGTCGCAAAGTGCATCACCTGTTTTTAATAGTTGCCTAAGGTTTATTTACATTATCTCAAGTATCATTTATAGAAACAGACTTCCATAGAAAACTGATCATTACAAGCAAATACATGTTCCGGTTTTTAGCAGGCCATGTCACCTGTAATAGACTACCGGCCAAATATGGGTTTTTTGTACTTCTTACTCAGAGCAATTCTGAGGAACTTCCTAAGGAAATGGGAAAAGATTTGAAAGTTCCCCGTTTAAAGGGGAAATTCTGCAGTACAATATCTACAATGCTTGGGTACATATTGGCAATCCTGTCTCAGATTTTGAACTGCAAAACAATCACTACATACTGTTTTAGAAATATTTCTGCAAGTTACAGATCCACTTGGTACAAAGACTGGTTCCAAACAAGAAGCCTTCAAAGCAGAGAAAACTGCAAACACATCTGCTACCATAAGCAGAATTTAAAACAAAACAAAACAGAACAAAAAATAAGAGAAGTATGTTAAGTCACACCATGCGTCTTTCCATAAGCCAACACCTGCACAAGACAAAGCATGTAGTTTAATACAGAGCAAGAAATAACATTCCAACGTGAGGCAGAAATCTGGCGTTCCAAGCGACGAACTGTTTTGACAGAGGAAGGACAAAAATATGCAAAGCTTAGCAAATGGCTAATGCAAACTTAAGAGAAGCAGCAAAGGAGAAGTGTCCATTAGCGTGCCCAACCTTGAAACCATAGGTGAGCAAGCAGCTTGGATCGATCAAGCTTGGGAAGTATATCTGAGTCCCTTGCACTCAGGTTTTATACTTGAAAAGTTAATTTGGAGGAGAGAGAGTTAAAGTCAGAACACATCCCAACAACCAAAGTATGTTTCTGGAAGAAGTATTTCCACTCACATGAGTACTTGAAAAACATCACAAGATATTTAAAGCTACTTTGGAAGATGGAGAAACACCAGGATTCAAAAGTATCACTTCGATTTTTAAAAGCTTACCTAATTTTGCAGTTTCAAGTAAGGAAATATGTTGAATCTCCAATCAGCAATTCTAGCTCCCCCAAATAAACAAACAAAAAAACTCCAAAAACCACTATTCTTCAGGTGACAAATCCTAAAATTCAACTCGAAGCCCAGCTTATTTGTTTTTCCTATCTCTTTGCCCCCATACTCTTACATCTGCCACTTCTGTCAGTAATGCTCGCCACCCCCACCCCACCCCCCACTGACTTTAGATAACAAAGGTATACATAATGGGTGCATGAAGTTTGCCGGCCATTATTTTCACCTTTGTATAAAGATCTAGTTGGCAAAGTAATTTCCCCTTTTGAAGTCTTAAAATGTAGCTCATCTTTAATTCCAAACAACAAATGAAATATAATCTAAAGGCATTCTAAAGGGAATGTTTTTCTGTGGATGTAAGCTGCCATTGATCCTGAGTGAGTGCCTAAAAGAGCTAACTTCATGGGGTAGCAGAAGGAAGGTTAATACCAACTTAAAAAGCTATAAATTAAGCATTTCTACATGCATGAAAGTTGTCAAAGCTTAAAAGAACAAAAGACAGAAGCTAACTTGCCAATGAGCTCAAACTTTGGCCATTTGGGTGTACCTGTAGCAGAGCCAAACGAAAGGCCAATTCCTTCATTCTCAAAGACCAGAAGGTAAGAAAGAGGGCAGAGAGCAGATAACAGGGCTGAAGCTCTTCTGAGGCTACACCCAGAGCTGTGCTCCCACTAAGCTGCCAAAGAAGAACCAAGCGCTCGGGCTACACTGAACATCAGAGTGAAACAGGGCTGCAGCAATGTGGGGGGGGAAACAATGAAACATTAAAGATGTAGCAAGAACATAGCCACAAGATGGCACATGCTTCCATGCCCTCTGCAAAGTCTAAGTTTAAAAAAAATTTTTTTTTCTTTTCTCTTTCTTTTTTTGGGAAAAATAAGGAAACCAGAAGAAAACAGAACAAAAACAAACAGGAAAAAAAGAAAGAAAGAAACCAAAGAAACTCCGTTAGTAACACAATCAAGTGAGGGGAATTACCAGTACAGCGGCAGTCTGTTCAACCAGCGCCGGCCGGCCGGCTGCGCAGCTCAGAGTAAAGGGCACCGCATACTGCGGTGTGATGGTGGCTACTTGAGGGTGGAGAGTTGCTACCATTAGTGGTGTACAGCTTCCCTGAAACGTAGATTAGGCAGGTGAGTGAAACAAACATGGTGGCAGGTTATCGGGATTCAGAAGGGTTCTCATCCCCCCAGGTGATTACACACAACCTTCCCCGTGACCTCTGCACCGCATTCGCCCCCTAGGTCCACTGACAAGGGCGCAGAGCAAAAAAAGTACAGAAATCCTTCCTGGACCAGATTCAGAGGATTAGTTCCACAAAAGCCTGTTAACAAAGGCATCTGTTCAGAATCCCTCCTCGTTCTCATAAATGAGGGTTTTGGAGTGTCAGGGTTTGCTATGTGCCATGGGCCACACACATTTACATAAAGCACTGAGAATCAGAATGTCTATGGCTTATGTAAATACTTCATGATTGTCTGGATCGTCTTAGTTGCATGCTCTACGGCAAGTGCACGGTTTGAGGGTGTCCTGCAGCCTGGGTTAACCAGGCAATGGAGGACTGCACTATTTGAAGAGGCAGCCTGGTGGGTGCAGCCTCTCAACCGTGATGAGATTCTGAAAGAGTAAGTCACAAGGCCATTACATGAGCAAGAGTTCAGGAACTTTATACTCTAGAACCCAATGCCACCCCCTGCACACACACCCCACCCCACCCCCGTGTCTTCTAAGAGCTCCAAAGTAAAACATTAACCCCAACCCTCAACATTAAGAGTACATGTACTCAGCAGATAAATAATCCTCAATGCCCCCACAAAGACACAGGCTGAGTTGTGATTGTGGTGGCAATTAGTACATTGTCCTACAGAGATGCTTCATTTTCAAGTCCACTGAATCGTGACCAAGAAAGATCTTTTCATTAAAGTGAATACCATTTGCTAGAACAAAATTTCTGATTTTCCAAAGTGCTTTCGACAATACTTAGTATCCAAGTCGCTCTTGGCTTTTTACCTGTGTAAGAACTCCTGACTGAATCTGTAGCGGCTGAGCAGCCGGAGCCTGGGGTACAATTGGCACGGCATTATCCATCCTCACAGGGAATCCAGAATGTTTTGTTGTTGCTTGTAATCCAGCTATGGAAAATAGCACAGTTAAACTGCTTTGCAAGGTCTAGAGTTCTTCTTGTTCATTTAGGTTGCTGGTGGCTCTTAAGCTTTCTACTCAAACAATCTATTAGCCAGATTTTAATCCTGCACATTAAAGATAAAGAGCTCCATAAAGGTTTTTACGAGCTTAAAAAAAAAAGTAAGAAAAGGGAGACTCGTTTATTCCATTCAGGCCACATTCATAAGATGTGTGCTACTGGGAGAGCTACTTTGAAAAAATTCTAGGTGTGTGTGGTTTGTTTTTTTAATCCAACAACATTCAAAATATAACAGTATCCCATTAACAACAAGGGGCTCTTAAAAGTTTGAGGGGAAAATTCCATTATCGTCTAATTCCATTTTTGCATGCACTTTCTGAAGACCTTTTGTAATTGGGGAGGGGGTTTGGGGTGAGCACTCCACTTGTAAGTAACATATACCTTTTAATCCAGTAGGGGGGAAAGTTTTTTAATCATTTAAATTTTTTTTAATGATTTTTTCCCCCCCTACAATTATTTTTTAAATCATTTTACTGGGGGCTCTCACAAATATTGTAACAATCCATGCGGTTTACACAATTGATGTGTGTATGGATTGGGATAACAGTTGTATGAGCCCCTAATAAAATGTTAAAAAAAAAAAAAAGAATATTGAACTATATTACATGAGCTAAAAAAAAACAACAAACCAATCCATATATCAATTATACCAAGCAAACTTGTACATATGTTGCCATTGTCATTTTCAGTCCTTATTATCAGCTCCTTTTATCCCTCCCTCCCCCACCCTCCCACGTTCATAAAATGTAAAAAAATTTTTCCTTATCTTAGACAGGTTGGGGGTGGGGAGGTTTTTTTTAACCAGTAAAATCAAAGTGGCAAATGTGATTACAACTTTGGTTAATCTGATAAGGAAAAATGGTAAAAAGTTAAAGAATTCACCCTCTTAGATACCTCCTTTTTTATTTAAAATGCATTAAGTGGATGTTTTCTCCCACTCCTCAAAATGGAATTCCAAGCACAAATTAGTCATATATTTTATTTTTAACTAGTATGTAAATTAGACATTCTGCCAATAAAGTATTAAAATGCTGCCAGGTGGGCTTTATGAGCACACTTTCTTCCTATTTTCAAAATCTACTCTCTGTTCTCATCAGTGACAGATGTCTAACAAGGCTCTCTTATGGACAGCTATGAAAATCAAGAACCCTTTGTTCAAAGCAAAAAATCTTTTTAATGACTATTTCCAGGAAAGTCTTATGATGCCAGCTTCACTCTGCTGTGACCATCTTTAAACAGTGGCCCTGTCTTACCTCTCCTTCTTATACATTCTGATCCGGGCACAAGTGTGGAATAAATGTTTCCTATCATGGGAGTAGCTCATCCTGGGAAAGGGGGACTCACGGAGCTCCTTTTTGGGCCAAGACTTGAGAAGACAGACTTCTTAAAAGCTCTCTGCCTTCAATGAAAAGAACTTTACACGTCTATTATGCCTCCGGTTCACTAAATGCCGACGGTTCTATTAAATGAGTACGTGCCCATTGTCATCAGAAGACTCCTCCTTCAGTGACGTTTTCTAACTGATCATCAACCAGTTTATCACCATATTGTTAAGGAGTCACATAAATCAAAGTCATGAGTCCTGATGCTGCTGCTTCAACAAGTCAGTCTTCTGATTTTCCATTTCAGTGAATTCACTACAGGCTGGCATACAGGTAAATACAGCCCAGACATGTACAAAGTAAGAAAACTAGTAAGTCTGAACTGAAATGCTAAAAGTAACTTTTAAAAGTATGCTCTAAAAAACTGAACTCACTGCCGTCCAGACAATGCTGACCCCTAGCGACCCCCTGTGGATTTCGAAGACTAACTGTTTATGGGAGTAGAAGGCCCAGTCTTGCTACATACATTAAAACACGAGGTGGGGAGGGGGGTGGCAATGAACTATTAAAGATATCAAGATTTTTTAAATGCCTGCCATGCTTCCTTACACTATGCTATTTAACTAAAAAACAAAACAAAAAAAACTAAACAACACCGAAATTCCTGTGTTTATTCCCAGGACTCATGGTTAACTGCAAAACCATGTCAATGTTAATCTTACAAGCTCCCACAAATTGGAGGAATCAAGGAAGCAAAATTTCAGGCAATAGTGTTCATTACAGATGCTCAGTAATGGCTCCTAGGGTGATGATGTAAAAGAGAACAATTAGCACTAAGCAAAATAAAAACTAGTTATCGCTAAGTAAATGTGTATTGTCTGGAATAGTATGGAAAGCACTGTTTATAGTAAACCCTATAGAACAGACCAGAACTGCCAAGGCTGTAAAACTAGGAAAGCAGACTGCCTCAGCTTTCTCCCATGGAGCAGCAGGTGGGTTCAAACCACCAACTTTCGGGTTAGCAGCCTTGCACTTAACCACACCACCACCTGGTCTCCTCAGTATTTATGGTACTGACCTATAAATAAGACTCAAAGTATCGGATAGCTGTAATTTAGGCTAAACCTCAGGAATCAAACTAGTTTAAAACTAGCTTCTTCGGAGAACCACAAGTGAAACAAATAATTAACCAAAGCTAACAATTTGGGAGGTTCTCCCACTTTCTGCAACTAAAGGATTAGCTTTGATGTGGGGGATTTGATCCGATATGACAGAGATCATTACATACAGAAGCAGTGGTAGCTGCGCAGCAAGTGGAGTGTCTTTCATGTTCCTGAACTGCATGTGGAAGAATGGTTGAAATGGCAAGCATTTTGGTGTCATCTATGAAAGCACTTCAAAAGTTCACAGAAAAATGGAACAAAAAGATCGTGGAACTTGCCCACAAACTTTTTGAAGCCCCCTAGTAATCAAGCACAATAAAAATAAAGAAAAATAACCTTGGACGATGTTAAGAAATGTACAGCTGCCTAATTGATGAAGTCTATCCTCCTCTAAGGAGATGGGCATTTGTTAAAAAGAACAGACGGTGAAAGAAAAGTGGACAACCTGGATTAAAGGAGGGCTGGGCAGAAAGCAGCATATGGTTGTGGCTGGCCAAGCAGAGGAAAGGCCTGACATCTACAGAAGACCCAATACCGAGTGGCAGCACAGAGGAGGCTCTGTCAAATCACACCCGCTGGGACCCCCACCGCCTGGGTTCACGCTGTTGTTGGGCCCTGAGTGTCTTCGAAGGCCTTCAAGCAGAGGAAGGGCTGATGTTGTCATTTTCTCATTTATGAAGCAGGCTGACTGACCTCCCGGGGTTTTTGTGAGGATGACTTAATGCATGTTAAACAAAGCATTTGGTTCAGTATCTGGCACCGAGTAACAGGACACAGCAGATGGCATCATCACCTTAGTTTTGACATTCCCTTTTATATAGAAATGTAAAACTTTGCTCTTTACCTAATGCCCACACTTCTCAATAGGAAAAGAGTAACAGTCCCGAAACTCATACTTACCTAATTATACCACAAAAAGACATCCCACACACCCCGCCTCTCCCTCCTCAGTTTGTGTTTTGTTTTGTTAAGTCAACTCAGAAGTCCATCTGCCCCACTCCTTCTCACCTGAGGAGATGCAGAACACCTCAGCACCCCACATCAGAAAACTATCCCCATGGAACTCACGTTTTGGAAAAGGGGGACAGGAAGGAGAGGCAAGCTTGCCCAGTGTTACTAGTAGCATAATTCAGCATAAGGATGACCCAAAGTATCGAGTTTACTGTTATGAAACATATGCAGAAAATAATTTGGTTACGTAGGCTATGTTTGCATTTACAGGTTTTGAATCTGCTCCTCCGCTCTCCCTGCGGTTTCTCCCTGGTTTACATCGCTATCGCTCTCCTGTCCTCCCGGTAATCTTTCAGTCTCCCCTATCCCCTCTTTTCCTTCTGCTTGCTCCGACTCTGTCAGAAACCAAACAAACAAGAGTCACAATCAGTATGTAACTGAAGTAAAAAAGATTAAAAATGCTATCCACTTCTAAGTAAAGTGTTAATGAGAAGGCTGAGTCCCGGTCTGCCCCAGAGGCTCTGACTCAGTACAGAAGGCAAGTGTGCTGCTGGGCAGTTTCTGGACAGTGATTTAACCTTTGAAATGATTCACCAGATTAAAAAATACACATTTATTTCAGGAAGGGGAAAAAAAAACTCGGCCAACTGGTCTACAATTCTGCAATGATGAAATGAGGTGGGGTGGAAATTTAAAATTAAAATCGTATTGTGACACCTGAAGGCAGAGCCTCCTTTTTCGGTCACTTTGTTCCTCTGTTGACAGCAGCTTTGCAGGGACAATATGATTTCATAAGCTGAAGTAGATAATCCTACTGCCTTTTCAAACAAGTATTTCTGCTTCTAGAATGATCTTTCACTTTCTCTAAATGTAATTTAAGACAGTCCCATATTCCTAAGTATGATATTTTACATTTTAGAATAAAAGTCCCTTTTATTTGGCAACTAATTATTATTTTAAATGGAATAATGTAAGAGACAAGATTCAATATAAAGCATTTCCATGTACAATAAATTTTTCCAGGATGTATGTCTTGTATATCGGGAGATAAAAAGTTCTTTAAGATATATGACATTGAGACAAGGCCTCAATGGGCAAAAAAATTTAGTATTAGGTGGTCCATTTAAGGAAATATTAATTGAATGCCCAACAATGTGTCGGCAAGTATTATAATTACAAATATAATCATATATCTAATTATATCAGAAATTCTATAGAAAGAAAAATTTCACTTGTGATATCAGCTAATTTCAGTTACTTGTATTAGCAGAAAAAAAGAGTTTAATTTATCAGCCAAAAGCCCAAATCAAAACTACTGTCACTGAGTCCTTTTTTTTTTTTTTAATCATTTTATTGGGGGCTCTTACAGTTCTTGTATCAATCCACACATCCAGTGTGCCAAGCACATTGTTACATATGTTGCCATCACACTTTTCTACTTGTGCCCTTGGTATCAGTTCCTTTTTTCTCCTCCCTCCCCCACTCTCACGAACCCTTTAAAATTATAAATTACAATTCTTTTCAAATCTTACACCATCCACTGTCTCCCTTCACCCATGTTTCTGTTGTTCATCACCCTGGATGGGGATGGGGGTGGTTATAAGTCGATCATTGCAAAGAGTTCCTCCTTTCTCCCCCCACCTTCCCCCTACCCTCATGGTATCACTACCCCCATTGTTGTTCCTGAGGGGTTTAGCTATCCTGGAGTCCGTGTGCCAAGAGCTCTTCTTATCTGTACCAGAGTACATGCTCAGCTCTAGCCCGATTTGGGATCATGATAGTTGGGGGTGGAGGGGTGAGGAGCCGAGTCAATTCTCAATGATAGCAACCCTATATACGGTTTCTGACACTGTGAAACTTTATGGCAGCAAACAGCCTCATCTTTCTCCCCTGGAGGATGCTGGTGTGTTTGAACTGCCAACCCTGCAGTCCACAGTGCTATCGGGGATCCTTTAAATTTGTCAAAGATAAGACCTAAACAAATAGACACCTGAAATAAAGATCTGCTGAAAGCAGAAAGATAATATCATACGACACCAAAGTCCCCACTTACTTTGGAAAGTAGGTGGACACACAATAAATGTTTGTTGGAATGGATCTGTCTGAGTGCAAATCTGGGTGGTTCCAGGCTGCAAGGAAACACCCTGCTGGGCAACTCCAGGAACTGGTGCTGCAGACGATGGGTACAGAGCAGACTGGTAGTTTAGGAGGGAGACATCTGAATTAGCTAGAGAAAGAGTAGCAGCTGCTGCAGTAGAACTGGAAGCTAGAACGCTGGCCTAAAAACAAAAGGATTATATTTGTACACTGATACAGCATGGAAATAACAATGTTATTACATACACAGAACCTCCCCAGAAAAACTTAAAAGTTTAAAACAGGTTAGCTGTCTTTGAAGTAACTCTCTGCTTAAGAAATTCAGATTTCTCAATCCCTCAATTAAAGGCATAAGATCAAATAAGCAAGCAAAGAACAAAAAACTGGTCTTGTGCTGGCTGAGGTCTTATATATCGTATATGAGGGGTCTTCAAAAAGTTCGTGGGAAAATTCCATTTTCTTTTAATTCCATTTTTTCAACAAACTTTTTGAAGCCCCCTCATATAATCCCCTGCCCTTTCCCCACCCCCTGTGCAAAATGCTATTGAATGTTCAATCCCACTAAAACTCATGTTTTTCATTTAAAAAATCCACCTAAGAAATTGGAAAGCTTACATTTTCAGAAACACACTTAAGTCCCTGGTTAGCAAACAAATGCAAAACCAGCTCTTACAGTTAATTATTGTAAACCCTTTTCACGAGATGTAATGAAACCAATAAACCCTTTCATGGACAAGGAGAAAGAAAGCCACTTGGCTGAAAGCAGTATAATAGTAGTGCATTTACTTAATGATGTTAAAACTACAAGGACATAGTTAGGCCATAATAATGCTCTTTTGACAGTCTATATTGGTCTACCCTCGCTTTCCATCATTTTTGCCAAGTAGGATATTCATAAGCAACAGAACTGCCAAAGCAAAGACCGGGTTCTTTACCTCATTGTACTCAATTTACTAGTTCCTTTATGTTATTCCTCTTAGCCTTGAATTCCCAAACACATTTACTGAATGCCTACCTGATTATGCACTGTATTGAGCTGGTTGCTGAAGCTCATGGTCAGATTTGTGCTTGTATTAGGAGCAACATGCGTAGTGAAAGGGCTCTTGATCTGACTCACAGTATCATACATGTGGACCCTTCGCTTGCAGATCTCCATATTCTGAAAACAAGATTTAACGCTGAAAGAGAGATGAAAGAATTACTGAAATGACTGCTAGACTTAAACACATAGCAAACAAGTCACAGTCAAGCTGGATCAGAGTTTGGTTTTATTTCTTCTAAGTATGCTCAGATATACAATTAACTCTGAGTTCCAATGTAACCATAAAGAGGGAAAGACTACATCTAATGTTTCATCTCACGAGAAAGAGAAGCAGCAGGGAGTCGATATACAAGCATCCAAACTGCTGTTCGATTTTACTGTTAGACTGTGTGCCAACTGAGAACTGTGTATCATGGCAAAACGCCCCACACAATACCATACTCACTGGTTGCTATGCGGAAAATCCAGAAGGTGAGTCATTGTCACAAACTGGTGGTTAAGAGTTTTCAGAGGAGTAATTCTCTTATCTGCATCAATTGTTAGCATTTTTTTTAAGAGATCAATGTATTCTCTTCGATCGGCCTTCTCAGCCAGCATGTCTGTTCCTTCTAAGTCTGTAGACATATTCACCTTTCCAAGAAAAATTGAGAAATATCATACCTTGACTTACACTTTCATGCTGAAACTAAGTCCCTTCCTTCTTCTCCAAATTAGAGTGATCAAGAGAGAAACCTGGGCACTTCTTTTTATGACAGTATAGTCATTTCTGGAGGAGGAAGCTCACTTATGTCAATACTCACTGAAGTTTGTGGGTAAAACAAAGATGAGTTCTTTTCATTCAAAATTTGGAAGCAAAAGTGATTCTTGTTATTTAAACATAAAATTTCCATTGTAGAAAATATTGTAAGATATAGTACCTTAAGGTGCTTAGGTTTAGAACATACTATGCAATAGAGTAAGTTAGCACTCATATATAGTTCCATGGTAGAAAAAGAATGTGATAAAAAGGAATCCTTCATAAACAAGATTTTAAAGTATTGACATGCAACATGATAAGGTAAGCAAAAAGCAAGGATTACGTCTAAAAGTATCTTCTGTTAGAACGTACATGTTCTTTTAATACATGGCAGAATATTAAAGTATTTTTCTCTTCAAAAACCGGAAGCCAGTTATGTCCCCAGTAAGTCCTATAACTATGGAAAGGGAGGGGGAAAAACAACTACTGGAAAGGTATACTAGAGATAACAGATTAAATCTGCTGAGTATAACTGATAGAAACATGGCTCTGATTGAAGAGAGAAACACATGAAAGGTTCTGAAAAGTTTGTAGAAAAATGGAATGAAAAGATACTGGCATTTTTTCCCCATGCACTTTTTGAATCTACCTCAAATGCCTAGACTTTAAGAACTTCCCGTGCTCACCTGAGCCATGTCATCTAAACAATTAAAAATGTACTTCCGAGCTTCTTTTGATTTTATTCCAGTCTCCAGTTCATGTTCTTCAGGTGTCTGTAAAATATGATTTCAAAAATTCCATCTATATATTATTTTCACTTTTTATTCTAAATTAAAGCCAGAATACAAACAAGTACTGTCACCTTGTCAGCCATAGATGGCAAACATGAAAATGCTTTGCAACCCGAAAATCCTCCAGTGGAGAGATGTAACCTTGGTAATCTATCCATGCTTAAGTGATAAATCCACAATACAACGATACAGTTCACTTCAGGTGAGAAGTAACATTACCAGTTTTCTCTTACAGCTATTTTCAAACGAATTGATACTTCACATGGTAACTACCATCTATACTCGTGTATAAAGCCGAGTTTTTCAGCACATTTTTAATGCAATTTTTGTGGTGAAATTAGGTGCCTCAGCTGATAGCGGGTCAGCTTATACTCAAGTATATATGATAACTGTTCAAATGAGTCAAATTATTGAGAGATTTCTCAAAAGAAGAGGGTCAGATATAAAAAGAACGTAATCATTTCAAAAAACAAACAAGGTATTATGTAGGCAGTTAGAAAAATACAGTGAGTATTGACAGGTTTATTGAGAATTCTCTTAAAAAACAGATTTTACAAAATTACTGTAGCTCTTTTGACAGGTAATAGTAATAAATACTATTGTCTACACCCCCTCTCAGCTGCTGATCAAAATACACACACAAAACTTGCAGCCAAGTGAACTGGCACCTCATAGGTTTTTTTGTTTTGTTTTATCTTGATCTTGTTTAAAATTAAGGATAAGGCCGAATGGGTACAATGAAATAATTTTCAAAGTATTTCCTACTATAAACATACCTTCCTCCTCTCCTTTTCCCTCCCCCACCTCCAGAATCTGCTAACTAAACTTCAAGTGCAACAGAGTTAGGGGAAGCAGGAGACGCCCGGTTGGGAAGACAGACCTTTAGCCTCCACAGTGGGTACCCCAAATTGGGATCTCGGTTGAAAAACCTGGTCGTTTTTGTACCAGCACTGAGAAGATATTCAGCGGGCAGGCCTTGTGTTTGTGAAATGTAACGAATCTGAAACAGCAAAACATACCAAAGTGGAGTGAAACATGAAATCATGAAGGACAACTCCATTAAAACAGTTTTATCTCCTGGAGATATATATATGTATATATATAGATATATACATGTGTATATATCTATATATATATAGCCAATCAGAAAGATTAGGGGGAAATCCTCTTCCAACCTTTCTCCCTTGGCTACTTGAGCTTTTGTTAATTTTACCTTCTCAAAATTACTAGAGTTGCTCTCGCCGATCATAAATTTTAACACTTAATCTCACTTCGTGTTCAACCTGGTAAGCATGCTTATCTATTCAACTTTTACTGAGCACCTACAATGTAGTAGGCCAACGGCTTACAAGGTATAGTTTGGGTACCCTTGCGGTCCCCGACAAACCTTTCTTGGGTTGTTCATGAAGCCAAACTATTTTCGTAACCGCGCTGAGCAGTTACTTGCCCTTTTCACTTTCATCTCACTAGTGCACAGGAAGGGGCAATACAACAGGAACATTGCTCTCATTCTCAGTAATCGTGTGCTTTGATAGTCTTGAGTTTTACATTTTCCTCATTTTCATTAGTCACACTTCTGTTCGCTTTTGTATTCCTCCCCACTCTGGAGAGCAACATAAGAGACAACGTTTTAATCCCCACCATCGTATGAATGGCCGTATTTGAGATAAAAATAGAAGAAATTTATAAGCAAAAAAATAAATCTCCCCACCCCCTTGCCCTGAATTCTGTTTTCATTCTACTGCAGTCAATATTGGTAGGGATAAGCCACATGAGTGGAACTCTTTGGGACCCTCAAGAACAGCAGTTCTCAACCTGAGGGTTGTGACCCCTTTAAGGGCTAAACGGCTCTTTCACAGGGACTGCCCAATTCGTAACAGTAGCAAAATTACAGTTATGAAATAGCAATGAAAATAATCTTATGGAGGGGGTCACCACAACATGTGGAACTATATTAAAAGGTCGCGGCATTAGGAAGATTGAGAACCACTATTCGAGTCTTTAAGAATGTAACTAAGAGTCAGCAAAGTATGGCTTACTAGACAAACTTAGCCGGCCAACATAAGACCATTCTAAAAAACAGCAGGATATTGTTCCAAATCTGGGAGGCTCCAGAACTGATGACCAAAAACTACAGCCTCAGCAAAACAGAATTTTAGACATAAATTTCTTTTGCATACAAAAATCCATGAACCATTTGAAAGCCACAATAAAACCTGTAAAATGAAAAACTGTGTGGACATTGAAAATGATAGGGTAAAACAACCCCCCCCCAAAAAAAAAGTGGTACATTTTTCAATTAAAGGAGTCTTCGATTTGATAAAACAGAGCATACTTGCTTCTCTATATCTATAAGCTTCCACGGAACATAACTTTATGAAGTACAATTTATTATTTTAATGAGCTTGCACCAGGCAGTGGGGATTTTAACAACAAGCACAGTTCTTGCTCTCACGGTTTTCTGTCTAGTGAGAGAAACAGATACTGAATGTGTAATTCAAATAAGTTGGCATCCTGAAGAAAAAGAAACAGGTTCTATAAATATACAGGTGGTCCAGACTTAGCAACATATTTGAGTAACAATGAACTACAGCTATCTTTTTTTTTACCTTTTTGCATATTTTATCATTAGTAATATGTACTACATACAATGTTGCAACATTTAATTAATTGATGTTATCATTCTCATGCCAACCCCCAGAGACAAAAAAAGATTAGTTTTAGAAAGATAACGGCAATAGCAATAGAAACAATGAGGCATTTAACTTATGCCAGAACTGAGTTATGAGGGAGTCATAAGCCAGGGACTCCCTTACACAGTAAAAGACCCTAACCTAGACCAGGATCCCGTGAGAAAAAGCTCCTTGAGAAAGCAAGGCTGACCCTGGACAATGAGCAGGCATTTGCTGAAGAAAAGGAAGGGGGTGGGAGTGGAGAAGAAGTCTGGACTATGGGACGAGAGTGTGCAAGGGCCTGTGCCAGAAGGACACCTTTCATCAGCACAGAAATGATGCCCACGGGGCTGGAAAGCAAAAGAAAGCATGTACGATCAATCTAGAGAGGAAGACGAGAGACAGACCAAGCAGGAATACAGAAGCATGCCGAGTAACGGCCCTCCCTCCTGAAAGCAAGAGGAAACCACTAAAGGCTAGGGGAATGGGGTTCGAATTTGGGTTTTGAAATTGTGAGTTGGTTAAGTGATGGCCATAAATAACCTGGACTAGGATAATCACAAAGGAGAAAAAAATCTGAGTACGACCAAGAGCTATTTAGAACAAAAATGGTCCAGAGATGCATGCACACACATATAAAGGGACTTCAGAGTTCACGGAAAAATGGAATTAAAAGAGAATAACATTTTCACACACTTTTCTGAAGCTCCTTGTATACAACGCAGAGCAAACCACATCTTTCCTTCATAAAATGTACCCCTTCAATTGTATAGTACAATGATGTGCATGATTATTACCAAATGTCTATTTCCCATCACCAAAGCCTAGCTTTCATGAGGGTAAGGATGATGTTTGTATTCAACGCTGTATTTCCAATGCCTGGAGGGACTTGCACCACAGAAGTGCTTAGTAAACATTTATACATAAAAAAGACAAACGGTACCAAAACATAATATAAATTATCTCTGCGTGGTGGAACTACTATCAGTTTATATTTGTTGTGGCTTGGCTTATCGTGTTTTTCCCCATAATGATGACGTATAGAACTGAGACATTTGAAGTATCTACTATGACAGGTGAGTTTCACTGTGAAGGGAGCATGGGAAGCCCCCAAGCAGATGCTTCTTTCACACAGCTTAAAAAAAGAAAAACCCCAAAACCTATATTTATGCAAACCAAAGTACTACTTGTCAATTTTCATTTTAAACAATTAAAATGCTTCCAAAAAACGTAGGAACTATCTAGAGAGGAAAGACATATCTGGCTTCAAGACTGGCAAACAAAAGACTAACTAACTTGCTATAAAAAATCTCAGACACAGCATTTTCAGGATCTATAAAAAAAACAAAAGCTAATAATATAACTAATAGGAAGAGACTGCTCTCTTCCAGGATCAGGAAGGAAACATGTATGTCCACTCTTGCTGCCTCAATTCAACACAGTACTGGAGGCTCTATCAGGGCAATTAAGCATCCAGATTGGAATGGGAGAAGTAAAACTATGTTTATTTGCAGATGGCATGATCTTGCATCTGAAAAATGCTAAGAAACCCATGGGGGTAAGGTGGGGGTGGGGAGAAAACAGGATTATAAAGATGGAGAAAATTCCATTTTATATATCTACACAATAGCAATAATCGATCTGAAAACAGAGCTAAGCAAAGCATTCTAATAACAGTATCAAAAAGAATTAAACTACTAGAAATGGGCTTAACAATAGTACGATACCCAAACTCTAAATAGCATTCCAAACGAGACAGACCATCTCACATTCATTAGTACAGCTAAGACGGCAATGCTTCCCAATAATCTACAGATCCCACGAATCTCGATTAAAATCCCAGAGACTTTTTGTTGTTATTGCAGAAATCAAGAAATTGATGACAAAATTCATATGGAAATGCAAAGGACCCAAAGTAGACAAAATAATCTTGAGAAAAGAACAGAGAAGGCTCACATTTCTCAATTCCAAAACTTACTTCAAAGTTACAGCAGTCAAGAGACTGGAGTACCAGCTTAAGTTGATACAGACCCGCAAAAGAGTCCACACTTTATGGTCAACTGATTTCACCAAAGAGGCTAGGACAATAGTCTTTTCAAGAGAGAACAGTTGGAAATTCACATGCAAAAGAGCGAAGTTGGACCCCTTCCTTTTGCCGTACAGAAAGATTATCTCAAAACTGATTATAGAACTAAATATAAGAGCTAAAAGGAAAACAAAACTCCAAAGAAAGCTGAGGCAAATCTTCGCAGATTGATAAAAAAGATTCATAGACTGGACACCAAAAGCACAAGTAAACAGAGGAACTGGACTTCATCAAAATTAAGCACACTTTTGTACTTCAAAAAACCCTCAGTCATTGAAACTGATAATGACTTACAGCAACCCTACAGGGCAGAGGAAACTTCCTCAGAGCACTGGGTGGGCTTGAACCACCAACCTGGCAGTTAGCAAGCCGATGCTTAATAGAACACTCAAAGAATGGAAGAGAATTTCTGAAAATCACATAATTGAACGCGTGTAACCAAAATATATAAAGGATTATTACAGCTAAATAATAAAAAGACAAATAAACCAATTTTAAAAGTTCTATAAGGGCACTTTAGAAAAAAAGAGTTAAAGTCAGTGGGCACATGAAAAGATGGTTCAACATGTTCAATCCAAACCACAATGAGATACCTACCAAGCCACTGGTCTAAGATGATGCTATCTTGAAAAAGACAGATAGACACATAATTACAAGTGTTGGCTAAGTGGTGGAGAAACTGGGATCCTCATAAGCCACTAAGAGGAAAAAAACCCTCAATCCACTTAAGTCAAAGTCTAACTCATAGCAAGCAATCCTATAAGACTGAGTTGAAAGAGATTTCTAAGGCTGTAATAAATCTTCTCAGTTCCACATTTCCTCAAAAACCCCGAAACACAGAGTAACCATGTTGTTGCGAGGTGCTGCTGAGTTGGCTCCAACACACAGTAGGCCTACATCCACAAGAATACCCTGCAATTCTAAATCTACGTCAAACCCAAACAAGCCACACGCACTGCCATCAAGTCCATTCTGACCCACACTGATCCTACAGGACAGGGCAAAACTGTCCCTGTGAGTATCCGAGACTGTACCTCATTACAGAGGTAGAAAACCTCATCTTTCTCCCAAGCAGCAGCTGGTAGTTTCAAACTGATGACCTTTGGTTGACCAATGAGTAACCACTATGCCATCTGGGCTCCTCAAGTATAAAGCCAAGAGAAATGAAAACCTGTCTACGTAAAAACTTGTACACACAAATGCTTATAGCTGCATTATTTTTAACAGTCAAAAATTAGAAACAACTCAAATGTTATGAACTGATGAATGAATCAATAGGGTATATCGATACACATTACTTGGCCACAAAAAAGAAATGAACTATTAATAAAAGCTACATTAATGAACCTTGAAAACATCATGTTCAGTGAAAAGTCAGTCATAAAAGACCATATATTCAGAAACAACAAGCCCACATGGAAGAAGCGCACCAGCCTGTGTGATCATGAGGTGTCGTAGGATCAAGTAGCAGGCATCAGAAGACCCAAAACAAACAAAAAAGCATTGTTGATAACAAGGGGGGGGGGGGGTCAGAGCAGAGACCCAAAATCTATCTGCAGACAAGGAGAGATCCCCTCACAAGAAGGGTCACAAGGAAGGGATGAGTCAACCAGGGAGCAGTTAGCACTGATGAAACATAGTATTCCTCTGGTTCCTCGAGGCTTCCTCAGCCCCACTGTCATGACCCCAGTCCTGCCTTTTACTGCGGGTTAGACCTGGAGCATGTACAATGGTACAGATAAGAGCTCACAACACACAGAATCCAGGTTAGAGAAACCCCCTCAGGAACAGAAATAGGAGGATCGGAACCAGGAGGGTAGGGAGAAGTGAAGAGAGGACGAGAGGAAGGGGGAACCGATCACAATGATCGACACATCAACACACACACACACACAGATGAGGGGGATGAACAACAGAAATTGTGGAAGGGAGACAGTGGTCAGTCGGTGTAAGATATGAAAATAATAATTTATCAAGGGGTCAGGAGGATGAGAGGGTGGGAGGGGTTAGGAAGGGAAAAAAGAGGAGCCTGGTACCAAGGGGTCAAAGTAAATGTTTAGAAAATAATGATGGCAACATATGTACAAATGTGCTTGATTCAATTGATACATTGATTGATATAAGATCCATAAGAACCCCAATAAAATGATCTTTTTTTAAAAAAATACCATATATTATATGATTCCATTTATATGTAATGTCCAGAAGAGGCCAATCTATAGAGACAAACAGTACATTAGTGACTATCTAAGGCTTGTGGGAAATGAGGAAGTGTCTGCTAACAGGTACAGGCACTGGTTGGTTGGTTTTTGAGTTATGAAAATATTCTAAAGTTGATTATGTGGATGGTTGCATAACTCTGAACACACTGAAAACCACTGAACTGTGCACATTAAATACACGGATTGCATGGTATGTGAAATCCACTTAGAAACATTAAAATAAAACACAAAATTCAGCTATAATGATTCTTTAAAAAAATGATTCTTAGAAATCTTTGTGTGTGAAGCAAACATGTACCAAGGTAAACTACCTCCAACATTGCTTACAACAGCAGCATCCGATTTGTTCCTGCTGGGAAAAAGTGCTTTATCCCAGAACCCAGTTTCACTAATGATACCAAATAACTAACCATGTATTCCTTTATAAAAATGCTGTCTATTTCCTAATGTGTCAGGAGTAAGGATATACTGGCGGAGCAAAACAGTTCTTGCCCTCAAGGAACTTAGTCTATTGGGTAGAACCAATTTTCACAAAGGAATAAAATGAATTCATAATTTATTCCCACAGTGAAACTTTTTCCCTAAAGCATCAACTCCTTAAAACACTATAACCTATCTTCTCCTAAATCTAGTCTTTTTCGAGTTAATTTATTAAAATACTTTACAGCTCAGATGATTTCCCTCCTAAATTTTATTTTACAGGACACAGTTTCTCGGGCCACATGTATGTTTCAGTTTGACAGGTTTGTGCCACATATAAAAAATCAAAGCCCATTGCTATCTGCTTCATTCATTCTTAAAATTTGAATCCTTCATTCTTTTTTCTTTCCTATCTCAACTCAAAAGATACATTAGCTAAGGTTAAGCCTCTAACAAACCATTCCAGAGCTGGAAAAGAATCATCTGAACAACATAAAACAAAATTTAAATTTTTTTTGAACTGCAAATACTTTAGAGCAAGAAGCAGTAAGAGAAAAATCTATTCCTTTTTTTTAATTCGTGTAATTTTTTTAATGATGGCAAAAATATACACAACAAAATATTCTCCAATTCAACAACTTCCACATTTATCATCATTGATTATACTCTTCCTGTTGTACTATCACTATTGACATCCTTTTCAATTCATTCCACCACCATTAACAAAAACTCAATACCCCCTAACCAAACACTTGTCCTCCTTCAACTCATGGTAATCATTGGGCAGGTTTGGTGTTCTTTCTTCATTTTTAGTAGTTTTCTTGACAGTATTCACATACCATACCCTTCTATAGTTAAATCGCTTTTTAAAAGTTGTATTACATCATCACAATCAATTCGAATGCTCCCTCCCAGCTCTAGCATACATTTTTTGCTTCCCAAATCCCCTTATCCGCCCCACCGCCAACCTCCACGTCCCTGATAAACTGATGATAAAACCCATCAGTTATTGTCTCTATGAATCCATTCCTTCTGTGCTTCACAAACTGGGAAACACAACAGAAACAATAAAAAACAAAATGACAAGAAAATAATAATGTAAAGATAAAAATAAAGAGTAAGAAAGAAAAGACCACCATCAATATTTTTAAAAGCCAGAGGAGAAATTTCTGTCATGGAACAAGCAAGAAATACTTGAGCTTAAAGTAAATTCAGGGTGGGTCAGGAGAGAGGTCAAGTGATCAAGTATCATATGACATCACAGTCCGATCCACCATAATCAGGTTTACAGGTATTACAATCTCTGATAATAAAGCTGTTCTGGGTCCCTCACCAGTTGCTAAAGGGGATCTGCCAGCGGCTAATCTAGATTACTCTTTGAGCAATCCTTTGTAAACGCACTATTCTTCCCCTGGCACTCAACTGCTTCACTAGTACTTCTCTTCCTCTGGCTCTCTTCCACTAGTAACTATCTGTTCTCTAGTTCCATCCAAACCCAACACTTACCTGATCATATTCTGAAGCACCTGGATAAAGAGGCCATCCTAGGAACAGCTCAGCTATCACACAGCCCAGTGACCACATATCAATAGCTTCGCAAAATGGTAATCCGAGAATAATTTCAGGAGCCCTAGCAAAAATGAAAAAACATGGTATGATAAGTAACCATTTGAGAAATTAACTATGCTGACCAAGTCCTACTTTATTGACAGTTAAAGATGCGGTTCTGTAATGAAACCAAAAGCAACCTCTAGAACACAGTCTGTCATCCAAAACTTGTGCTGTGAGATAGGTTTGGAATTCAAAATACTCTCACTTCAGAAAGGTAATATAGTGTATAGACTGCATATGATACAATAATCCCAATGGAACTTGGGGCATCAGCCCAAATGCATTACTATTTTTTTTTTTTTTGCAATGAAACATATATGCTATCACAATATGTTGGTTAAATCGGACCTTATTAAATAGCCTTATATTGGTTGAATCTGCCAGTCAGTGGGTTTATACCAACCCTAGGAAAAGAATTTATGTTTTAAGAACTTTCTTAACTTTCAACATTACAGGTAGGGGGATTACAGACTATGGTTAAAATTCCTAACACCCCCTTAATTAGAAAATAAAAAATTAAAGGGCTTGGTAATAAGTATTCCTTTGTGATAGAAATTACTTCTGAAGGGATGTGGTGGTTGAGGCAGACTCTAGCACCAGCCTATTAGGATCTGAATCCCAATTGTATCATTTACACCAGGCATCCTCAAACTATGGCCCGCAGGCCACATGCGGCCCGCTAAGGACATTTATCCAACCTGCCAGGTATTTTTGCCCCGTTTGTTTTTTTACTTCAAAATAAGGTATGTGCAGCATGCATAGGAATTTGTTCATAGGTTGTTTTTTTAACTATAGTCCGGCCCTCCAACGGGTCTGAGGGACAGTGAACTGGCCCCCTGTTTAAAATATTTGAGGACCAAATGCTTCCTCCCCGCCCCCACTATCATGATCAGAATTCTACCTTGCAAGTCTGGCTAGACCAGAGGATGTACACTGGTACAGATAGGAACTGGAAACACAAGGAATTCAGGGCGGATGATCCCTTCAGGACCAGTGGTGTGAGTGGCAATACTGGGAGGGTAGAGGGAGAGTGGGTTGGAAAGAGGGAACCGATTATAAGGAACTATATGTGACCTCCTCCCTGGGGTCGGACAACAGAAAAGTGGGTGAAGGGAGACGTTGGACAGGGCAAGATATGACAAAATAATAATTTATAAATTATCAAGGACTCATGAGGATGGGGGGGGGGGAATGAGGACCTAATGCCGGGGGCTTAAGTGGAGAGGAAATGTTTTGAGAATGATGAGGGCAATGAATGTACAAATGTGCTTTACACAATTAATGTATGTATGGATTATGATAATAAGAGTCGTATGAGCCCCTAATAAAACGATTACAAAAAATAAATTTTTAAAAGTTTGAGGACCCCTGATTTACACCACCACTATGGGAAGTTAATCTCTATGCCTCAGATGGCTCACTTACAAACAGAGATGATAAAAGAACATTTCTCTTAGGGTTGTTGGGAAGGTTTTAAAAAACAATTATTTTAAAGCTCTTAAAACAGTGTCCGGCACACAGTGAAAACCCAAGCCTACTGCCATCAAGTTGACTCCTACTCATGTGACCCCTTCCTAGAACACAGTAGAGTGGCTCCTTAGGTTTCCAAGACTACCTCTTTACAGGAATAGACAATCTCATTTTTCTCCCTTGGTATGGCTGTTGGGTTTGAGCCACTGACCTATGGGTTACCAGCAGCCCGAGGCTCAGCCACAGTGCAACCAGGGCTCCTTCTTGGTACACAGTAAGCCCTATATAAGTATTAAATATGGTAACTTGTATTTTATTTATCGTTGTCCTAAAACTTTGAACTTCTGGTATGCTTTTGCAAATACTTATTTCCATTAATGTGCTAGGTGAGAAACATAACCCTAAAGAAACTTCAAGAAAAGACAATAACTATGAATTTTATATATGAAGCATATTTCAGGTATAATTAACACCTCCATTTACAGAGGAGGATGCTGAGGCAATGAGAAAGTGAATCATTTCCCCCCAAAGAACAAAGAAGTCAAGCAGCAAGGCTAGGATTTGAATTACTTTGTCTTTTAATAAATAAAAGCTAAGTATATACTCAAATGTATAAATCGATTTGGCTGGCATGGTGGTATATACTAAACGCATTGCCATCAATTCCATTTCCATTGATTGTGGCCATACAGGACAGAGGAGATCTGCCCTGTCTCCAAGGGTTAAGACCCTGTTCTGGTTTAAACCCAGTTCTGGGGTTTCCAAGACTTTAAATCTTTATGAAAGCAGACTGTCCCAGTTGAGAAGCTGGTGGGTTTGAAATATCAACCTTTAGGTTAGCAGCTAAGAACTTAACCACTATGCTACCAAGATATAGACAATTTTCAAAGTATAACTAAAATCAATAAGTCAATGGGTTCAAAAGGGGATGATGAAAAAGGGGGGGGAATGATAATAGAAACATTAGACAAAATTCTAACAATTCTATCAGGATGATTCTGAGTACTTAATATGTGTCATACACTGGTCTAAGTTCTTTGTAAGTGCCAAGTTACTTAATCCTTACAACAAGCCTATTTACAAAGCACTATTAATGCTATCTCCATCAATTCTAAGATGCACATTTTTTCACATTTTAATACCTCTGAAATTAAGATGACTCATCAATAATGGTATACTTTCTTAGTGGTGTACAAATAATGTACTCGCTTAGATACTACGTAATAAAACATTCTCACTGCCTTTCAGTAGAGTTTGACAATTAACAACCCTATAGGACAGAGTAGAACTGCCACTGTGGGTCTCCGAGACAGTGATTCTTTATAGGAATAGAAAGTCTTGCCTTTCTCCCTTGGAGAGGCTGGTGGTTTCAAACTACCAAGCTTCCAGTTAGCAGCCCAAAGCGTAACCAGGGCTCTTCCTTTAAAGAAAAAGAAGCTGGACACTGAGAGGGATTAAGTAACTTGCCCAAGGCCACACAATAAGTTAAAAAAAAATGGCAACCAAGCAGTTGGCCTCTAGAATTAGTTTTTAAACACGTCACCATCTTCTCTAAGTGATTTCCTTTTCTTCCTACAAGTCACTGGATTTAGATTTGTCAGGAAACCCAGATCCCTCATTTAACAGCAACAAAATGGAAAAGTCGGTCTCTCTACAAAGGGCCATCTGGCTGGGAGTGTTCTCTGGGTGGAATGGATACTAAGTTTCTAAAACTTTACCACCAGTAAGTGATTACTGTTGCCTTTTGTGAGGGCTTGGCAGCAAGGATTAGGGGGAGAAGATACAAAGTATCTCCCTAAGTAAAAATATCCAAACAAGTAATTAAATGTGTCAAGTCACTCTTAGAAAACAGGGGAAATTGAAGGGCTCTTCAGGGTCTGGAAGCTTTCCTGATTCTTGCTCAGTACCAGCAGAAGATGCAGGCCTGTTCCAATTTACACCACTTGACAACTATGGGTGGAATCATCATTGTCATCCGTGTTTACGCTGTTTAAGGGGAACTGTGGTTTTGTTAGCCAAAGAAACAAAAACTAAGATATCCCTATGTTACGTGGCTAGAGCCACACATTCCTGATGGAATTTCAGAGTTCAATTAAATCCCACTAGTGTGGCATGTTTTAAAAATAGCATTTCAGTGTGGTAGGCACATTAATAAACTACAGGGCAAGAGTACTCAGAAACAATATAAAAGCTTTCCTGAAATTGAAAAGGAGCAACATTTTCAACTCTCAGTGAGCAGAATCATTCATTTCCAAGTCCATGACAGGGCCAGAAATAGCTGGCAGGGAAGATGCGCATGGCTTTGGACCAAAATAAAACTGGGCTTAGAACATTCCTCAGCCTCAATCAGAGAGCAGTGGGCTGATGCTGCCACTCCCACCATTCTAAGAAGACATTTTGAAGTCCAAAAGGTAGGTCACAGGGAGTGACCAGGCCACAATATCATTCCTCTAAAATGGTAGCAAGAACACCAATAATTGCTAGGTTTCTAAAGCTTAAAGCTTCAGGGAAAACATGCAAAACACTAATTCCAGCTCCCAATCCCCATTTAAAACATTAAAACTGACGATTAACTGGAGAGGAATCCGTTTTTACATTAGGTGTCACCCTGCTATGGGGACAACAAAGGCAACAAGGGATCTTAGCAAAAGCTCACTCAAAACAGAAATCCCATCACATGAGCCACACAAAAACAGGCAAGAACCAACCAAATAACAAAAGGCAGTACAATAATAATGATGATGATGATGATGATGATGATGATGATGATAAAGCTGCTCAGTCCACTGACGATTTTCCACTGTCACTGTAAGCCTGGCAATATTAGCCTTGCCAAACTACACCCCGCCACCCCAAGAAGCAAGAAGCTGTTATTCTCACTTATACTGAAACAGCAAGGAATCATGAGTGCATGCTTGTGGCTAAAGACAATCTTTGCAGCTCTAAATTCAGACCACAACTCTTGGAAAGGCTTTCAGGCTTCTTTCCCCATTGGCCTCCATTGTTCTTCTCGGTCCCTTAACACAAATTCTCTCGGCACTGGAGCTCGGGGATTTGCATCTGGATATAAGAAGACTGAGTCAGAGACTCAGTGTAAGTCTCTTCTCTTCTCTGACTTCCTAGTAAGTGGGCAGTAGAAAAGATCACCTATGAAAGCCCAAGGGAAAGTAGAGAACAAAACGACAGCACTTGTCAAGAGGAAAATGGAATTGCAGTTTGGATGTGTTGGGTCTCCCCTGAAAACACAGCTTATCCTGCAAGGATAAATACTAATTACTGTGGTCAAACAAAAACGAAACAACTCACAACAGTGTGTCCATTCCGATTCATAGCGACCCTTACTGGGAAAGAACCACCACCACCACCCCCATCCCTTCTTGTAATTTCAATAACAACAAAGTTGTTTACATCAAAATCCTTTACGGCTCTGTAGAGTTCCATCTCCCTGGGTGTCGGAGCTGGCTAAAGTTAGTATCACGCTGCAGCACAAACCATTCTCTGGCCATTTTCACGAGTATGCTTGTTCCCCATTTTAGAGGCACAGAGCTATTCACCAGATCAGAGATATTACAGAAAGTTTAGCTTCCGGCATCTGTGGCTTAGGTCAAACTGAAGTTTCACCACCAGAGGAAATGGAATTGTTCGTATTGTATAAGCTAAACTTTAAAAATACTTTCCTTCGCTACATCTTGTCCTCACATATATAACAAAGTGATGGTAGACTGAAATCAAGACCAGCTAGTTGGTTTAGGAAGTGTGCAAAGTTTCCAAGCCATGGGGCCTGCCATCCATCATCCTCTTTTCAGGGGGGAAAAAAAAAATTAATCAGTGTTCCCGCCCCGCTCCACCCCACCCCCAAAGAACAACTTTTGCTAAGAGAGCTCTGTTGCAGCCTTCCTGGATTGTTCCAGTGCCCCCCCAGGGGGCAGCATCACCCATTTTTGAGAAACACTAAGGTGGGGGGGTCTGGTGGCAAAGTGTTTTAAAGTGCTCACTGGTTAACTGAAAAGTTGGTGGTTCAAATCCACCAGCCACTCTGTGGGAGAACGCTGTGGCAGTCTGCTTCTGTAAAGATGATCGCCTGGGAAACCCTGGGCGCAGCTGCACCCTTTCCTATAGGGTTTGCTCTAAGTTGGAACCGACTCCACAGCAGTGGGTTTGGCTGGAACATAGTTTGTTCAAAATAGAAAGCCACTGACCACATAAGCATGGTGAACCTTTGCCGCTACAAGATAAGGCTTTTGCTAGCATCAGTCTGCATTTACCGGGGACCAGCACAAAGAACAGATATTACTTCCACTGCCTGGGTTGTTTAGCCAACTGGAAATCGTTTGGCATGTTGTTGACAAGATGAGATAACGTAAAATAAAAAGGAGGGAAGGAGGAAGATTGGGTTTGGAGTCCGAAGACTTCACCAGGCAAAAGATTTTACTGAGGTTTTCTGAAAGACAGGTGAGGGATTAACAGGCTCTAATGAAGCAACACACAAGCAGCTTATCCACTGTAGCTAAAACGAGCACAGAGGCGGCAGGTCTGAGCGGCCCTTCCATCTGCCTTCCTCTCTTTGTCAAGTTACTGTGACAGGACAGACAACTCAAGTTACGTTGCAAGTGTTGTCCAACCTTAGATACAGGACACATTGTAGGCGACGCAGAATGAACTCCTGCTTCTAAAGGGTAAACTTGGCTCTACTGAAATGACACCGGCAGTTCATTCATAACTAACCTGCTCTGGATTCCCAAGACATTTTGTTGAAGAGTAATTACCAGTGGGGTAGGCAAACCCAACCAACATTCAAAATAAAAACCAAATCAAACCAAAATGACTCCAATGGCAGGCTACAATTAAAGTCTACGGATAAGGAAAAGGTACAAAGATCAGCAGCCTAACACTGAGCAATGGTCCACTGAAACTGACAGTTGATGAGCTGAGCAATGGTCCACTGAAACTGACAGTTGATGAGCTGCCAGAGGTTTTTTTTCTTTTTTTTAAACAGGGGAGAGCGCGAACGCAGGCCCCCACTACCACAAATTATGCAGTCGAGTTTCCCACATTTGGGGAAATAGCAGGGGTCAGCCCATCCGGAGTGCAATGGATAAGCCTCGCCCTGGGAAAACCACCTTCGTGATCATGGTATCTCCCCTGCCAGGTAAGTATCAGAGGTTTATATTTATACCCCTCACAGCTGTGTTTACCCTTGAAGAGAAAAACCAATCAAAACTGGTTTCGTGCAATAATTCTTCTCTTACTAAATTAAAAAACAAACCCACAGCAATGCCATCAAGCCTTCTCTTTTTCGATCTGAAAACTACTGTTAACACAAGGGGATGCACTTTGTCTCTGGACAAATGGTTAAATGAAGGAACATCTGCAGCACTGACTAGAGGAGATGGAGAAAGGGAAGGCTGAGCACCCTTATGCCGCAGCTACTGCTTGGGTCTCCCCAGTCCCACTCAGAACAGGATGCAGAGGAACTCTTCCATGTTCCTCTCCAGTGTGTTTGGATGGATGGAGGGAGGGAGGGAGGGAGGGAGTGAGGGAGGGAGAGAAGGAGGGAGGGAGGGGTGGGTGGGTGGGCAGGGGTAGCAGAGTTGCTCAAAGAAAGGAAAACAGCAGATGAAAATGCTTGAATAAATTAATAAACGTGAGAGTCTCAAAACTGGCCAAGGCTACCGAGGACAGCATGAAACCAGATCAAAGCCTGTTGAGGATTTCTTCACCCCACCTGATTCATGTCAAAAATGTCACAGAATAAGACTAAATTTAGAACAAATGAGGAAAGTGCTGAGGAATAAAGAGGGCTCATTTTAAAAGCTTCCCCACAAAATAAATGCTTTCTCCCTTTTTCAGTAATGTTCTTTGGCTACAGAACAGACAAGACTGTACATACCAACACTGAAATGCTGCCCATAAGTGTTTCCTATTATGAAGGAAACTACGTTAGAAGTACCAATCTGCACACATGACCTACTAAAGCATAAGGCATGTGGGTCATGGTCATTCAGGGATAGTCTAGTAAATTCCAAGTATCCTAAGTTCCCAACAGAAAGAGAACTCAGCAATCATCTAATCCAAATCTTACTTTTTATATGAAAAGGAAGGTATAAAAATAATAAAATGGTGGTAAAGGTAAGCCTGAATTTAGCACCAAGGCCATTTCACCGGCCAAGAAATGAGCTGAGGGAGAGGAAGGGGGGAGAGGTAGGGGGAAGAGTATGGGGGTGGGGGTGGGAGGGTGGACAGCATATCCCCAGATTCATTGCAAATAAGCACAAAACTTTACATAATGAGAACTAGTAGGCTGGTACTAACTAGCAACCAACAACCCTGAGCTCGTTGTTCCACTACTATATAAAACCTCAGAATTCAGATATCATTACACAGCTCATCACACACACGAGCTGAGCTAAACCACACTGTCCTATTTCTACCTCAGAATCTGCAGATAAACCAGTCCACTGTTAAATGTAACCCGACCTACTGTATGTATGTTAACTATAAATAGAGACCTCCAGTCTCAGTATTTGTCACTTGCCTGTAGTATCTTGACTGTAAGTACGTTGAGCACACGGCTTTGGAAACATGACTAGCAGAGCCAAAGTCAATGACCTTCACTCGGTAGGGCTGACGCACTGGATCCACCAGCATTATGTTTTCAGGCTTAAGGTCAGCGTGGATCAGACCAAGGCTCTTGAGCTTCATCAAGGCTGTGGCCACCTGCTGTAAAATTGGTCTGATGTACTTGAGTGGCAGTGGGCTAAACTTGTTCTGCTTTAGAAAATCGTATAAGTTCTGCTCCAGCATCTCAAACACAAGGCAGGTGTGATTCTTATGCTGAAAACACTCATAAGAACGGACAAAATTATACTCATCAGCATTTTCGCTGCTGAGGCGGGAAAGGATGCTCACTTCAATCTGGCCCTGTCTGGCATAGGAAGGGTGATTCTTCAAGATTTTAATTGCCACAATTTCCTTGGTGCTCCGCTTCCAGCACTTAGCCACCTGCCCAAATGTCCCCCGGCCCAGGAACTCCAAGACTTCATAGCTGTTGGTCATGGAACAAAGGATCTCATGCTGGACCAGCTGGTAGTCTCCTTCTCCGCTGGAACTGCTACTCTTTGTGGTCACAGTGGTGGTCGTGGCAGCAGCACCCACCACAGTCCTGTTTTGCAGCATGAGAGGGGGATGTTCTTCAATGATCTGCACGCTACCGTTGCTGTCCACTTCCTCACTTTTTCTTTTCAGCCCACATTTTTGATACGGCTCCAGCAGGGAAACGTTGCTCCTGTGGCTCAGGCTCTGGCTGCTTTGGAAGGTGGACGGAGCAGTGCGGCCCGAGCTGTCGGCGGCGGTTACAACAATGTGCTCCACTGCGGGAGCCGGGAGGAGGAGGCCCTGGTCGTAAGCAGGGAGGCTGAAATTTGCTACCTGGTGAGAGGAGTTGCCTTGTCCTTGTGTGGCTGGGAGGGTTTTGCTGTGGGTGTAATATTTGTCGTTGCTGCCCTGTCCTGAAACATCCCAGCCAGAGGGCTCTATTTTCAGTTTCTTTGCACTGCAGAAGGCACTCGACGACACTGCCGGGGGAGAGAACACCTGCAGCTGTGATGCCATACCTAGAAGAAGAGAGAGGACATTAGACCTTATACGACACCCCACCTGGGAGATAAGAAAACCTCCCGTGTAGAAAAACCGTAAATGAACTAACCTGAACCTGGTCTACTTTTTACTTTATACCTTTTCCAAAACTTGCTTCTGTTTCAGAAGGTTATCATTTGCGGTCTAACTACACATCCCTAACCACTTCTTGGCATGCAATCAATGCACGGATAGATTTGGCAAAGAGCATGAACATCTATGATGGTCTATAAAACATCACAGCTTAGATGACTGGTCCTATTATGACCCGCAGCAGTCTTCGGCGCCACGTGAAGCACTCGTGTCAGTCTGACCACACCCTTGAAAAGCGAGTCCCATGATTCCCATTTTATAGATAAAGTAAAAAAGGTGCAGAGAGGTGAAAGTGCCCTAGTTCGCACCGCTATTAAAGCAGGAGCACTGGAATTCAAACACAGGCATTCTGGCTCCTGAGTACATTTTAAAGCTCTGCCTGCATTCCTGGCTGGAATGACTTTTTAATAAATTCTCTACATGTGAACATTGATGACATGTTTCTAAAAGTCACAGATGAACGTGAGTTGGACAGGACACTTGTGTTTGGTAAGTAACAGTCCCCTGCCCCACCCCCACCCCCAAAATAATCACGATCTAGGGTAGAAACTAGAAGGCAAATCAAGCAAATGACACAAGGCAAATGCTCCTATACTGAGGCCCAAAACATGAATAGCACAAAGCACAAAGGCAAGAGATACAAGTCTTAGCAGCAGCATATATAAGATACACTTGCAGATGTTAACAAGAAGCATGATGTAAATAGTGTCTATCTCCCCTCCCTGACTAACTGCATCTCATCTACAGAGCGCCACAGACCAAGTGCAGGCTGCCCACTGGATTTCATACACATGGTTTTTAGCTCTGGCTGCTACATCTCTCAAGGACTGCTGGTAGTATTCAGAAGAAAGCAGTCAGCCTGGTGAGATGTCTGCATAGTCTCCCAAGGCATTGAAGAAGTATCTTAGCAAAACATAGAGCGACAGAGAGGAGGTACCATAGACACTTCAGGCCAAATAAACCTTAAGACTAATTAAACCCAGAATGATTACTTTGAGAATAAAGTCCAAACATTTGACCTAGCACACAAGCCATTTCATATTTGCCTTCTCCCTTTCTCAACCACCTGACTCTCTCAGCTATCTGGTTAATCCCTTTTCTCTCTCTACAGGTTTCATCTTTTCAATAAGCACTCCCCAGGGTTAGTCACCTAAAAAAGATGATCAAATCTATGTCTCTAATTCAAACTTCTTGAATTTCAAAGTCTTATAACAAAGTACCCATTTGCTATGGGCATGCAGGTATCTCAGCTTCAAAAGGTTCCATGCTGAACTTAACCCCTCTCCTCCACTTCATCCCCAGTCTTCTCACTCAGTAGCTCAGTCAGGAAACCTAACTCATACCAAGCACCTCAAGCCAAAGTACCAGGAAAACAAAGAGCCTCAATTTGCTCATTTAGGATGTTTAGGAGCTCTGGTGGGGCAGAGGACTGCACACTGAGCTGCAAGGTCAGCAATTCAAAACCAGGAGCCATTCTGAAGAAGAAAGATGAGGCAATCTACTTCCATAAAGATTCAGTGCCTCAGAAGCCCGCACGGGCGATTCTACCCTGTCCTACAGGTCACTATGAGTCAGAATTGATTGGATGGTGTAAGTTTAAGCTTTAGCAGTTTGAAACCACCAGCCGCTCTGCAGAAGAAAGACAGTTTTCTACTCCCATAAAGAGTTACAGTCTCGGAAACCCACAGGGGAGTTCTACCCTGTCCTATAGGGTTGATATGAGTCAATATCAACTCAAGGGCTGAGAATTTGGTGGTTTTTTTACTGTTTAAGGAGCCCTGTGGTGTTGTGGATTAAGCAGTTCACACTCAAATAAGATGCAGCTGTTTGCTACCATAAAGATTTAGTCGTAGAAACCCAAAGGCACAGCTCTACACTGCCCCACTGAGTCATTGTGAGTCGGAATCAGCTGGATGGCAGTGAGCTGCAGGTCTGAGGTGTTCATTGCAGTCACGTCAGTTCTGACTTGTATCCACCCCACGCGTCTGAACACAACTGCTCCACAGGGTTTACAAGGCCAGGGCTTTTGAGCCCCAGCTTACCCAGCTTATCTCCTGACGTACCTCTGGGTGGCTCAATGACCAACCCCTTACCTGGTAGTTGAGTGTTTAACTGTTGGTGCCACCCAGGGGCTCCTCTTCATCTCTAACATGATGGCAGTAACATCTGCCCCTCCTGGGATTTGTCTGAGGCCTCAATGATTTAATGCACAGTGCTGAGTGCCTGGAACACGGCTATTATCATCCTGACCTACCCCTCTCCTGTATTATCTCTAACACATGAGCCCGCTCAGGCCCACCTCTTACAAAGACACCATTTTCAAGTCAGCCATTTCTCTCGTCCCATACAGGCACCAGCCTCCAAACCCATCTCCCCAAACTGACTCAAAGACTCTGAAACAATGCAGGGAGATGCCAGGTTAGCTCGTTAACCCCTCCCTACCTACCTCCCTCAGGGCTTTTCACCACTTTCTGGAGAAAGTCCAGAATCTTCAATCTGCCTTTAGAAACTCTCACATTTGGCCACTACCTCCAAATGCTTTCCCCTTGAATCCCCATTCCAGCCATCTGTTCTGCTTCTAGTTCTTGGAGGGCTATTCCATATTCCGTCACCTTCAGGCCCTCTGATTCAGGGGTACCTGCTGGGAAATCTTCCCTGACAACCTC